TTAATAAAGATAAAATTATTTAAATATTAATTACCAGTCATTAAATGTTCGGAAGGCAACGTAATTCTAGTCAAATAGGCGTGAAGCAAAGTTCTTGCCTTTATACTCCACGGCAAAGAAAGAATTTGTTCCTTCCTCTTTTCACCCAAATTTTTCAATTCTCTCATAACAATTGGAATTTCCTTGTCATCACTTTCTCGTTCAACAATTTCTGTATTTAATTTTTTACAAAATTCAAAAGATCCAGCCAAAACCATTATAATTCCTTTTAAAAAATTATTTAAATTATAACTAAAAAAATATACTATTAATTTGCATGTTTGGAGTCTTTTGCAAAAAATGGCCATAAAGTCTAGATGTTTCTAATAAAACTTTATCAGCACTATATTTTATTGAATTATACCACCACATTCCCTAAAAAAATTTTATATAAGAATTATTTAAAAAAAAAACAAAGACTAACCACTCCAACAGGAAGAACAATCATAAAAACTAAAGTATACAATGCAAGAACCCAATTCCCATATTGTTCACTAACAATCCATTTTGGTAAAGCAATTCCAAATGTTGTTGCTTAAAAAATTATAGTATATTAAAATGCCAAAATTAGATGATGACTTTACTATAGACAAAAATAAAGGTCATGAAAATTGAAAACTTTTAATATAAACTACGAAACATAAAGTTTGAATTTCAAAAGTAGTCGTCTAATCCAGTGACATCCGACTTTATCTTTTGATTGACATATAATTTGGGGATGGCTTCTGCCGTATACAAAAAATTTTTCAACAAGAATTTTAGAAATTTTAAATTTAATTGGCCCGTTAGAGAAGACAATTTCGAAAAATAAACATTTCCCAACCTTTTGGGCCATCAGGATTTCCATAAAGGCGCCAATTCTCACGGGATTCTTCATCGGTTAATGCTTTATAAGCTTTAACAATTGCATCAAAAGTTACAGGATCACCACCTGAAATAATTAAATTTAAACCAAAAATTTAATTTAAAAAACCTTTATCTGGATGGTGTGTTTTCGAAAGTTCTCTATATTTTTTCTTAATTTCTGTCACATCAGAATCCTTTTAAAATAAAATTATTTAACAAAAAAAACATTTAAAGGAAAACCATACAATATCAATTCCCAAAATTTTATAAGGATCATATCTAAATTTTAATTATTTTTCTTTTAAAAATCTTTAAATTTACTCTTCATATTGTTGTTCCAATTGAGAAACTTTATAGGCCAACAGAAGAAAAAGTATCCACAAAATAATTAAAATAATTCCTTTAATAACACATTTAGCTTTTTCCCAAGGTTTTATTTGCTCTTTTTTGTAACGTTTTTGTAAATCCCCTTCACATCTACATCCCCTCTTTAAATATTCTATCCTTTTTGCTTTAAAAAAAATAAAAAAAATTATTTTTTAAAATAATTTTCAAAAAATATTACGAAGTGACGGCCATAAGAAGTGTGTCAATGGAAGGAGTAAAACAGCAAAAAATGAAACAATAACATAATAAAAAGTATTTCCAATTTCATCATACTCAAATTGTGCTCTGGGCATGGCTACCCTAAAAAATTTAAAAAAAAATTTTTCAATCAGATAAGGGCCCTATTTCAATTGTCCACAGATTCTGCGGTCTGCGTTCTGTGCACAGACCACAGAACCACAGAAATTCTGTTTCAATTATTCCACAGATTCTGCGGAAAAAGAAGTCCGCAGATTCTGTGGAAACATGCACAGAATCTGTGGAAACATCCACAGATTCTGCAAAACATCCAAAAACATGCAAAAACCACAGAATTCTATTTCAATTATTTTTCTGTGCACAGAAAAAAATCCACAGATCTGTGGCTTTTTTAGTCGATTCTGTGCATTTCTGTTTCAATTATTTCTGTGGTCTGCGGAAAATACACAGAATTCTTTAAAAAATCCACCCTAAAATTTTTTCTGCGAACTTTCTGTGGAAAAACTTTAACAATTTTTTTCTAGGCCTAGGCTTAACCAAATTTCAAAATTTTTAAAGATTATTAAAGTTTGAATCATTCTCTATTTTTTGATATAAAAATTATAATTTTATTACCTAAAATTATTGCTTAAAATTAATTTTGAAAAAGGTACATCTTTTTTACGCAGTTTTTGTTATATTCAAGCAATAAAAAAATAAAAAACGTGAGAGATTCTGAAATTTAGAGCTATGATGTTCTAATCATCATGGATATCTCTAATGAGGGGATGTTTACCAGGATCTATAGAATATATCTGTATAGCGTATACTGGGATATCTCCCATGATCTCTCATTGATATCCGTCATAATCTCTCCTCCTATTTAATGATAGATTTCCTCCTTAATCACTCCAATATATTAAACCTCAAAATCAATGGATATCCCACTTAATCACTCCTCTACGATTTTAAAGTTCCGATTTGACTATAATTTTGGATTCCAGGCATTTTCGATTTCCAGTAACCTCAATTTCTGACTAAACAATCCCCAGTTTTGTAACATTTCCCTCCCTTGCAACAACTTCTATCGTAGTTTGAAAAAGCCACATGTCGGATCGACATCTCCTGATTTTTCCGATCCGAACCCTGCTTTAGGACATTAATTTAATTGGAGATTTAAGGATATTGGATGAACAAGAAAATTAAGCGGTATATCAGCGGTTTTAAAGTGATATCAAAGAGATTTAAAGGGATGTTATGTGATTTGGAGGGAAAATTTTTAAATCTTTACAATATTTTTCAGTTTAATTTAAGAATTTTTAAAGTTTTACTTCAAAAAATCAGGTACCATTAATACTGCGGTAGTACCGAACTGTCCAAACCATTTTTCGTTTCAATAAAACTGTTATTTTCAAAAACGCGGAAATAAAAAATTTGAATTTAGAAGAAAAAATACACAGAACCACAGAAAAATAATTGAAATACAAATTCTGTGGATCAGTGGAAAAAATCCACAGATTTTTATATTTTCCACAGAAATTTTCATCCACAGAATCTGCGGAATGTTTCCACAGAATCATTGGATGTTTCCGCAGAATCTGCGGGCACCACAGATTCTGTGCACACAGAATTTAATTGAAACAGAATTTCCACAGAATCTGTGTTCTGTGCACAGAATGCAGAATCTGTGGACAATTGAAATAGGCCCAAGATCAATCAGAAAAACATTAAAATATGTAAAAGAAAATTTCATGACGACGCTTAATGGAAAAACTAACAACGCACGGTGGGTTAAATGCGAAATCTAACCGTCTCGTCACACTCTCTCGTTTTTCCTCTTTTTCATTTATTTACTCTCTCGTTTTTAGCATTACTCTCGTTTCTATTTTAGGTTGCCGATTTTGAAATCCAATATCTCGAAAACTACTCATACGTTTTAAAATCTGTTCATACATTTCATAGATAATTGTTTTAAGATTATGTCAAAAAAATTTCAGAAATTTTAATGCAAAATTCATAAAGTTAATGCACATCTAAATTCAATACAAAACAAGGATGATAACGCGGTCATTATCTACGAAAAAAGCAAAGCTTTTGATACCATCCGGTGCAGCTTGACGAGTCACGTCGATTCATGCCAAATTTGAGTTTGTAAAGCCAATTTAGGCTGAGATACGGCCAAAAATGTATAAATTTTCACCGATTTTCGAAAATTCATAACTTCTTTAAAAATGCATATTTTCCGCTCAAATTTTGCAAGATTGTATATCAATTGTAGGACTACAATTCAAAAAATTTTGAAGAAATTTTGACCAGGGGTTCATTAGTTATAGGTAGTAGGGTAACCGGTTGGTCAACCTAAGTAATAAGTCAATATAACATGTGCAAGATTTACATAGTTTTTGTTCGTTTTTCATCCCTGATTCGCATAAAACAAAAATTAGCGAAAAAGGACACCTTTGGAGAAAGTTATGGCCTAATATAGGTCGAATTTTGCTGATTTTCAAAAATTCATAACTTCGTTAAAAATGCATATTAGCTTCTCAAAATTTACAGGATCGTTTATCCACCTTAGGACTAAAAAATTACAAAATTTGAAAAAATTCGGGTGGGAGGGCCAAAAGATATAGGATTTAAACAATTCCCCCTCTAAATGACAGTTGACACTCAAACTCTGCGATGAAGCTGACACTCAATCGGCACTGAAACGGCTTGCGTTTTTTGGGAAAGAGGGCAAGAGAAGTGAGAAATAGTGTTAACGCTATTTTGGCGTAGTTTAAAAAATAAAAATACACAACGCCACCAGATTTCGCATTTAACCCGCCGTGACAACGCGGCGTTAAAATAAAAATAACAGAATGCCAAAAAATTATTAAAGTTTACCTATTCAAAATCTTTTACCGTAAAATTAAGGAATGCTGTTTTGCCGTTAAATCAAAGAGATTATAAACAATGATTACTAGAGACCGGAATTTCCTACTGAACGGTATTCCGTACTGAAATACTGAAAAATACCGTCGTACTACCGATACCGTCCGGTCTCTAATGATCACTACTATTTATTCATAAAAATCTAAATAAATAATCAATTAAAATTATAGTATTTATACATACATGTGTATTCTAGTCAAATAAAATAAAGAAATATTAACAATTTTTATCTTTTTGCATGGAAAAAATAGGTTTGTAATTTTTATATAAAAGGATTTTGAAGACAACACAACACTTGTAGCATTTGCGGGTTATCACTACTGTAATCTTTGTGAAGGAGCAGAATAAAATAACATCAGAAAATAATTATTAAAAGTGGTTTTATAATTCCGAGATCTACGTACTATGTTTGTACGTCCAAATATGATTAAATTTATCTTTTTACAATTTAATTTTTTAGTCCTTAGCCACAGGTGTTGCGCCTCATCTTTGAGGTATACATAAGTGAATTTCCAACTTTAAACATTTAATTTTCTTCTCTTCCCACTAAAAACCTTTTAAATCCAAACCCGTCTCTTCTTGAATTTTTTTTCATTCGCAATTTAAACACCTTTCTCTCCTTATCCTTCAGAATCAGTTACATATTCATATGTCCATTCATCTTCATCTTCCAATTCTTCTTCAACTTCTATTTTCTTTTTTTCTTCCAATTTTTTACTTTCTGTTATACTTTCACTCTTTTTATTCTAAAAATAAAATTTTTATTAAATTTAGAAAAACTTTTTTCTACCTCTGATTTTTTAGAATCCGGCTTTTCCATAGAATGATTAGCTATTTCTTTCTTTATTGCCGTTTCCTTTTTGGAGTCTTCAGTTTTTGATGTTGGCTTTGTTTTTGGAGGTGATTCTGTTCTCTTTTGTTCTTCCTTTTCTTTTGTCTTTTTAGAGGGAGATTCGGTACCTTTTTGTGTCTCCTTTTCCGGTATCTTCTTTGGTGGTATTTCATTCTTCTTTGGTGCTTCTGTTACTGGCATCTTCTTAATTGGTGGCACTTCTTTTTTGCTAGGAGTTTCTTGTATCTTTGTTAGAGTTTCTTTTCCTTTTGACACCCCATTTTCCAACGATTTCTTAGAAATTGATTGCTCGTTCTTGCTTTCTTGTTCTTGAACTTTCTTGGAAGGTGTTTCAGTTTTCTTTGGTAACTCTTTTTCTAACGCTTTTTTGGGTGGTGATTCTGCCGGCACATTTTTTTCAGTTACCTTCTTAGGAAGCGATTCCGTTTTCTTGGATGCATCTGGAACCTTTTTCTGGGGTGATTCCCTGGGTAAATCTTTCTTGCTTGTGGATTCTTGTACCTTTTTAGGCGGAGATTCCTTCCTTTTTGGTATTTCCTTTTCTGTTACTTTCTTTGGTGGCGATTCTTTCTCCTTTGTGATCTCATTTTTTCTGGAAGGTTCTGATGCCTTATTAAGTGAGGATTCAACTCTTTTTGATACTTCCTTTTCCGGTGCTTTCATAGGAGGTGGTTTCTCCTTTTCTGACACTTTTTTTGGAGGCGATTCTGATCTTTTTGATATTTCATTTTTGTTGTTTGGCTGTTCAGTCTTCTTTGGTACCTCCACTTTTTTTGATGCTTCTATTCTCTTTGACGCCTCTTTTTCTGAAACTTTCTTAGAAGATGATTCAGTTTTTGCCGGCACCTCCTTTTTACTTGGAGGTTCTAGTGACTTTTTAGATGGCGATTCTGTTCTCTTGGGTACTTCTTTCTTAATAGGAGGAGGTTCTGGTGCCTTTTTAGGAGGCGACTCCGTCCTCTTGGGCACTTCTTTCTTAATAGGGGGAGGTTCTGGCGCCTTTTTAGATGGTGATTCTGTTCTCTTGGGCACTTCTTTCTTAATAGGAGGAGGTTCTGGTGTCTTTTTAGGAGGCGACTCCGTCCTCTTTGGAACATCTTTGTTTGTTTGTTGTGGACTTATTTTAGCTGGTGATTCTGTCCTTTTGGGTATTTCCTTTTCTGGTACTTTCTTTGGAGGAGAATCAGACCTTTTCGGGGATTCATTTCTTGAGTTAATTTTTGTCTTATCTTCTTTTATTTCGACCTGCTTCTTCAACAAATCATTCTGGATTGGGGGGACTCCTTCTTCCTCCCCTTCTTCATCAGTTACATATTCATATGTCCATTCTTCTTCATCTTCCAATTCCTCTTCTTCAAATTTAACTTTCTTTGGTTCATCCTTTTTCTGATTTTCCTTTGTATCCTTTTTAGCTTCATTCTTCAATGTTTCTTCCTTCTTTTTAGGTTCTTGTTCTTCCTTCCTAATTTCCTTCTTAGCTTCTTTCTCAACCTTATTCTTAGGTTCTTCTTTTTTTGTTTCTTCTTTTTTAATTTCCTTCTTAGGTTCTTTCATTGGTTCTTGTGATTTTGTCGTTGTTTTCGAATCTATTGTTTTCGGCTTAACATTAACTAAACTCTTTTTCGCCAAATTATTTTCTATTGGAGGTATTTCCTCTTCATATTCTTCATCCGTTACATACTCATATGTCCATTCTTCCTCATCTTCCAATTCTTCTTCTACTTTTTTGGGTGGTTCTTTCTTTGGGTCCTTTTTGGGTTCTTCCTTCTTTGCCTCCTTTTTAGGTTCTTCTTTCTTTACGTCCTTTTTGGGTTCTTCTTTCTTTACGTCCTTTTTAGGTTCTTCTTTCCTTATGTCCTTTTTGAGTTCTCCCTTTGCCTCCTTTTTAGATTCCTCCTTCTTTGCATCCTTTTTGGGTTCGTCCTTCTTTGCCTCCTTTTTAGATTCCTCCTTCTTTACGTCCTTTTTAGGTTCTTCCTTCTTTACGTCTTTTTTGGGTTCTTCTCTCTTTGCGTCCTTTTTAGGTTCTTCCTTCTTTACGGCCTTTTTGGGTTCCTCTTTCTTTGCCTCCTTCTTCGTGTCCTTTTTAGTTTCTTCTTTCTTATCTTCATTTTTAATTTCCTTCTTTGGTTCTTGTTTCTTGACTTCTATTTTAGGTTCTTTTTTAATGTCCTTCTGTGGTTCTTGCTTCTTATTTTCAATTTTATCGTCCTTTTTGGGTTCTCCTTTCCCCAATTCCTTCTTGAGTTCTGACTTCTCATCTTTCTTCAAATTACCCTTCTTTGTCTCTTCTTTTTTGAGTTCCTTCTTTGATTCCTCTTTCTTTTTAGGTTCAACCTGCTTTGTTTCATTTCTTTTAACTTCTTTTTTCTCAACTCCATTCATTTTCTTTGAATCTGCTTCAGCTTTTTTATCCTTTATTGGCTGCTTTTCATTCTTCTCCAATGTTTTCTTTGTCGTATCTGAAGGTTGTTTAGTTTCTTTTTTATTTAGAATTTTCTTTTCTTCATTCTTCTTAACATCCTTTTTCATATCTTCATTTTCTTTATTTGAAATCTTTTTACGTGGTTCAATACCATTTTCTTGGGATGATTTTTTATCTTCAATTTTCTTTTCATCCATTTTAGTCTTCCCAATTTCTTTTTTATTCTTCTCTTTTTCTCCCCCTTTGTCATTTTCTTCGTTAGATTCTTTAATTTTCTTTTTCGGTACTTCTACCTCTCCATTCAATTCTTCACTATATTCTATCTCCTCTTCATCTTCATTTTCTAACTCCTCGTCTTCATCACTTTCATCATATTCCCCACTTTCATCGCTTACTGACTCTTCTTCATCTTCTTCCTTTAAAATTTATTTTATTATTAGTTTTTATCTATTATTAACAATTCTTCTCACCTCTTCATCAGCAACATCCTCCTCTTCAGGGGGCAATAAACGTAAAAATTCTTCTAGTCTATTATTTTCTACGGCTTCTTCAAAATCATGATAATTCTAAAATAATTTGTTGAAAAATTATTTCAATTTTATAAATTGAGCAAGCTTTTAAAATTAAAAAAATTTACAAAACTTACTCCTAAATATTCAAATTTATAAAATATTTGGGGCGGTAATGGCACATCAGTTCCGTTCCTGGGATTAATTGCTTTTTCGCGCATAAAATCTCTTTCCATTTCATTTCCACGAACTGTAATGTCTACTTGTTGAAAGGGAACACCCATCCCATCTAGAACCATTAATATCTGCCTAATTTGTTGACGAATCTAAATAAATAAGACGCTCTCTTTTTATTAATTAATTAGGTGAATTTTTTATATTTAATTCACTCCTTATTAAATTTATTTTTAAACATTTTAACAACTAAATATTCATAAAAACAACAAACTTCTGCATTTCCAGTTACTGTAGAAATATAAACTTTAATGTCTTGTTGTCCATTTAATTCAGAAGCGTTTGGAGTAAACATATTATATTTTGTTTTTTTAATTATTAAAACATTTCTTCCTTTCAAAACGTTCAATATTAAATAAAAGAACACTAAAAATAAAACGAACAGAAAACAAATGCCAAAAATATTTTTAAAAACAAATGGAACTTTTTAAGAGCCACATGTAAATACCTCTTTTTTTAAAAAAAGTTAAATAAATTAAAAGACCTCCGATCCGATCGATCCAATCTAAAGTCATGGGGGGACGGCTAATGTAAGTTGGGGAAAAGTGGGCGGGAAAGTGTAGGTGAAAGGGTATTTATTTAGATTATTTTAAAAGAATTGAAAGGAAGGATAAAAAGGAGGTAAAAACAAAAAAGAAATCTTTTTTTTGATAGTAGCTGCAACCAGCTGGCGTTTTTTCCTTTTATTTCCTCTGCAAATATCTGATTATAGCTCATTTTAGTTATAAACCTTCATTTAACCTTTAAACAAAAGAGAAGGTTAAAAAATAGGTATATAATGGGTTGTCAGATAAATAATGAGCCCTTTTCGCATTTTTAGTCTTCTTTTATGTATAGGTATTCGAATTTTAGTTAAAATTATTTTACATTTACTTGAGTCGATAGTTCACGCTTTTCTCTATCATATAAAACCATTTAAAAAATTAATTTTGCTTTTTGCAGTTTTTTATGAATTTTTTAAAATTATGCCCTCAAAATATGAAATTCGGACTGTTATTTTGTATTGCCTCAAACCCGGTTTAAGTACAACTCATGCCAAAAAAGAAAATGCCGCCTTGAATGGCACACGTTGGGCATCTTTTGTAATAATTAAGCGATGTTACAAAAAATTCCGTGATGGAGATATGGGCCTAGATGCCAAAAACCCCAAATTTGGGCTAAATTTGGGATTGTACACTGGGAATTAACTCCTAAGGGCAATGGATTGACGGGCGAACTCTACAGAACAATATTGGACCGATATCAGATTGCCTTTGATGGTTTCACTGCTCGTACGGCTCGTTATGGTCAAGTTGTCTTTCAACAGGAAAATGCACCTCCGGTTCGCGCGAACGCAACTCGATTTCACATTAAGGAGACACTTGGAGGGCAACTTTTATTTCACCCACCTCATTCTACGGATATTGCGCCGTCTGATTACCCCATGTTCCGTTCGATAAAAAATCATTTCCGAGATGTGGGGTTCCAAAATGATGCTCAACTCCCAAATTGGGTTGCCGAACTTCTTGAAACCAAATATGCCACTAGATTTATTCAAAGGGAATTAAAAAACCGCCCAGTAAGAGGCAAGATGTGAGAGATAATAATGGGCATTATATTGTTTCTTAATCTCATTTCATTATTTAGTTATAGTAAATTGTTTTATTTATGCGCAAAGGGCTCATTATTTATCTGACAACCCATTATTTAATAGCCAAAATATTGGCTATAAAAATATTTTTTCCAATTCTTTATTACAGAAGTAAAAATAAAAATTCTTAAAAATAAATTTCCTTTCCATTGAATATTAGTATATTTACTTACAATTAATATAATTTTTTAATTAAAAAAATTTTTTTTTTAATATATCCAACAGAGCGATTTCGATATTTCCGGGTTCGGGACCTGTGGTCAAGTGATTTAGGTGAATAATTAAATGTCCATTATCATGTATGTATGAAAATCAGTTTTCCATTTAATTGAATTTGATAAAAAAAATCTTAAATCATAAAAGCGGAGAAATGAGAAAAAAAGGAGGAGGGGGAGATAAAGAAATATTTTTTTGTAATTTTACAAAAATATCATAATTTATTTTCTAAAAACTAAAAACAATTTAACAAAACTAAATTTATTTATTTATTTAAAACAACTTTTTTCCTTTCATTTTCTTCTTCATTAATTTCTTCTTTTAATTCCTCAAATTTAATTTTCCATTTTTCATTTAAATGTTGTTCAACAGGATTTTCATAATTATTATATAAAAATGAGTATATACCTTCTCCAATATTTATTTTTATATTTCTTTCTTGAACAAATGAAGGCAAATTTAGACGATTTTGCATATAAAAAATGTCCGGATATTTTTGTGGTTTTAAATGTTCTTCTTTTGATTTTACTAACATTTCTAATTTTTTCTTTAAAACTTCTTTTCGAACAGTTTCTGGATTTCGAAACATTTGGAAATAACTTTAAAATTAAAAAATAATAAAATAAAATAGAAAAACACAAAACTGATTAAAAGGCATCGGTTTTAGTGGAAATTCTTTCTGTTCTGGCTTAAGAGGTTGATCCCATTCATACCAATAACGAGGAGATTTTACACCTTTTTTAATATTTTTAAAAATAATTTCTTTTTTCAAAAATACCTAAAGAATGCAAAGCTCTATCACAACTTGGGTCCCATTTAATTTGACAGAAACGAAGAGAAGAAGGCGTAATTTTATCTTCAAAATGTTTATAAAAAGAATTTGTGTTGAATATACGGGAAGTAAAAGAAGAAAAATCAAAACTTTAAAAATTAAAAAAAATTTAAATTAATTTCTAAAAATTCGTTAATTTTTGCAGAAACAAAAAATTTTTTGCGATTTTTATTTTAAAAGATGGCAGATATTGACAGACATCATATATTAAAAGTAAGCAGAGATAATAATCAATCCATTCAAAATTATTTTAAAAAAATTTTTGTTTGTCAATATCCCCCCCCCCCTTTTAATTAAAAAATTAAATTAAAAAATTACTTTTCAAAATATTTGTCAAAATTAATAACTTCAGAATGTCGAAATAAAATAAAAACAAAACGATGATATCCAGTTCCATAAAAAGGCATTGGTTGTATATAATTAATTAAAGTATTTCCATCATTAATTTCTCCACCATTTAAAGGTATATTCCCAACAAACCAATGAATTATTTGTTTATTTTTATTTAAATGATTAATTAATAATTGGTCTTTTTCTGGGATTTTTAATTGTTTTATATTATTAATTAATTGTTGTTGTTGGTGGTGGTCTTCTTCAAATAAATTATCTTCTTCATTTTGGAGACCTGGACCTTCCAAATTAAGCATCAAAACTAAAAATAAAAAACATTCTTAATTAAGAATTGAATCCCAAAAGAAAAATTTATCACAGATTCATCCAAATTTCAGAAAATTTAAAATATAAAAATGTTTGGCAATAGAAGGATTGGACGACAATAACAGGACGTCCAATCAACTTTTCCCTATTTTTGGTTGAAAAATTCGAATATGTAAATTCAGAATTGTGTCGAATGACACTGAAATCAACGATATCCAACTTAATTGGCAAAATCCACGGCCTAGCCGCGCTAAAAATCGGCTTTTTTTAAACTTAACTAAATTTTAAAAAATCCCCCAAGAAGTTATTTTTAAATTAATTAAAATAAACGTGTGTTAAAGCCAGTTTTATCATCTTTTGTGTCTCCATCATTTTTAAAAATATTTCCAATTTCAATATTTGGAGGATTTGTTGTGTCTGTAGCTTTAATTATATTTCCAAAATAAATATTATTTTGTTTATTTTCTTCTTTTTTATTCCAAAAAATATTCATATTTTGAACATTATAAAAATAAACTCCAGGCATAAATAAATCATCAAAAATATTAAAATGTTGAAAAAGAGCCAATTGGTTTGAAGAATCAATTTTGGTAAAATCAAGAAAAACTGAGAGAAATTTTTGAAAAATTATATAAAATTAAAAAAATTATTTTTTAAAATTATTTCTTTAAAATTTAGGTAAATTCCCACCAACAATTACTTTATTTTAAATTATATAATTAAAAAATACGTTTATTTTTTATAGCCAAATTCTCCAATTTAACCAAATCTTCCGAGGATAATTTTGTCAAATTTTGTTCCAACCGTTTAAATCCAATATTTAATAAATTCTTTTCTTTTTCATTTTCACCTTTTTTTAAATACATATTTAATAAAAAAAAATAATTATTTTAAAAAAACCTTTAATTTTTTCTTCAAAAGATTCAAAAATTGTGTCTGGATCAATTAAATGTAAATTCGGAAAAAGTTCTGGTTTGTGAATTCTTGCTTTATACCAATTATCAAGTTCATAAAATCTTTTAAATTTTAAATATAATTAATTAAAAAAAAGGCAAACCTATTTCGAATAAAAGCATCCGGCCCAGCCCAAGCAATTACTCTGGGACGCCATGGACGAGAAACACGAGGAGTATTTCTTGCTCTTCTAGAACGTTTAACATATAATCTAGCATAAATTGAAGGTTTATACATTCTCTCTAAAAAAAGAAATAAATTAGTAAAAATTTAAGAATAATTCAGAAAAAATTATTGAAATAAGAGACGGACGTTTTGGCGCAGGTTGCTAAGGCGCAATGCAAAAAATTACTACAAATAACTTGAATTAAAGTAAGATATTTATGAAAACTTTTAAGTGAATTAGAATTTTATATTTAAAAAATTATAAAATTAATTTACTAAATAATCTCTCGTTCAAAAAAATTTTTTTCATTTTTAATTTTAATTAAAATTGTCAAAAAAATATATATTTATTTATTTTCTTTTTAACTACTGTAAGCTTGTGCAATTAATAAATCATCTTCTTCTTCAATTAAACTTTCTCCTTTTCTAAATCCATGAAATCCAGCATTCCTTCTTTGTTTGTATTTATTTTTTAATTTAGAAAATATATTCCCAATAACAATTAAAATTAATAAAATAATTGCTCCAAACAATAAATATTTGGGGGAAGGTTTTTCTTGAAGTTTTTTTGGTTTTGAAGTGCTAGATTTTACTATTGAAGATTTAGTTGAAGATTTAATTGAGGCAGCATCTTTTCTTGGATGTTGCTCATATCTTTTTAAAAAATAAAAAAGTTTTGGTTGAAAAAGAGATTTTGTCCTCCTTTCTCTTTTTCTTCCCTCCTAATAATAATAAAAATAATAATGAGAGTTTTCCTTACAATTAAAGAGAACAAGTAAATGTAGTTACAAATTAGTTTATTTTGATTTTATTACTATATTTACTCAATTAAATACTCCCTGGGCAATTATTACTTCAATCCCTAGCTGGATCTGAGGAAAGGCAATTAATTGAGTAACTACTGTATATTCCTTTTATTTTGTAGTTATTGTTGATTTTCTTTCTTCAATCAAATTGGAATAAAGGTACATACATCTACACCTTTCTTTTCCTCTTGTTTCTCCTTTCCCTTCAAAAATATTACAAAATGATTAGAGGCAAATAAAGTTTGGATTAAATTGCCGTATTATCCTTTGGAGGGATAAATAAAATAAAGAATGACCCTCTCTATTTTAATGCCCCCTCTAATAAAATTGCCTTTTTTAATATTTGTGATTGAAAAATATAATGGCTGGCCACTCTAATCATTTTGTAATATTTTTGAAAAAGGAGAAGGGAAAAAAAGGAAGATGTATGAGATGCATAAAGACATAGTACCGGAATAAATTATTCTGTTTGACCATAACTTAAATTAATTAGCTAAACGCAAAATGGGTTTTAATAATTAAAAACCACAGTTTCCAATGAAGATTAAAAACAAATTTAAATAAAAAATATTTTTTTAAAAGAAAAACCTATTTCGACAATTATCTTCATCTGATCTGTATAGAAAAAATTAAAAGAAATTAAATTTAAAAACAAAAATTAACCCATCAGGGCACTGTATTATTCCATCACATTGATCATAACGTGCAATACAATTTCCATCTTTACATTCAAATTCCCACTTAAAATATCTTTAATTAAAAAAATATTTATTTTTTAAATATTACATCATTGCATTGTGATAGCCTTTGTTGTTGTTGTCCTTCTTCATTAATTAATTGGGAATTTATTTTTATAAAAATTATTGAAAAAATAAATAAAAAAATAAATTTTAATATTATTTCATTCATTGCTTTCTTTTTTAAATAAACAAAAATAATTTAAAATTATTTTATTAAATTATATAATAACTTTTTTTAAAAATTTTTAATAAAAAATAATTGAGAGAAAATTAAAAAACAAAAAAATTACTGGAAAATGCCTAAAGCTTGCCTAAGCTAAAAAAAACATGCCAACAAAAAATATTCGAGAGCTTGACAGAGAATGTGGGCATGTATATATATTAGAGACAGTCTTTCATATTGATTATTATACATATATTTTTAAAATGTAAGTAGTGCCAACCTTTAAAAAATAAATAGAAGGAAGCTTCCCTCTTTAAAATAGCAACAAAAATTACAATTAAATTTGAATATTTAAATTAAAAGTTTAGAGAATAATAACTGATAAAATATAAGAGGACAATTCAGGTTCCACTATTAAAATAGTAAAAAAGGAATTGAGAATGAAAGATACTACAACACAATCTATCTGGGGGAATTTTCAATATCAGAAGAGTACTACATATTCTGCCCTTCTTATCATTATTTGAAAATTCTGATTTTACTTCGCACTAATGGATCATCTTTTCTTCGTACTCACTTCTACTTTCTTACATTTAGGAAATTTAATAACATTCGAAATTTTTTGTTGATACATAAAAAGGAAAGGATTGATATTAAACCCAAATATGAGAGTGGAATATGAGATATGTAGAGGAAAATAATTTTTATAATTTTAAAATTAAAACTTTCAAAAAAATTTTTTAATCTTTTATATTTAAAAAATAAATTCCATTTCTTAATAATGGAAAATCAAAAAAAGTTGAAAAATAAAGATTTTAATACCCAAAATTAAAAATATGTATAACAATTAAAGTACAAATTTACTACTATAAAAACAGCATCTCCTTTTAATTTAAATGTTCAGAACAACATTTGATAAAAACAAAACAACCAAACATATTTCCATCAATCCTGATGTTGTTCTTGTCTTGTTTTACGGATGTTGCTGCTCAACTACTTTTTGCCTCAATGCCGTTCATTCTTGTGTTTTCAACTGTTTTCGTCTTCTGTGCCAAAAAGGTTTTTTAATTTAATTAAAAAAATATAAATTTAATATTTTTTTTCAGAAAGATCAGAAAGAATCCAAAGAACCCAAACCTGAGCCTCCACCACCTAAATTCCTGAAAGGTTAATAAAATGTTTTAACTTTTTTTCTAAAAAAATCATTCAACAGATTGGCCAACAGAGAAAGTTCGGGCAAATGAGGTAGGCTATGGTACGTTGTCAGCAATTAAGCCGGATCAACTCTTCCCTCAGCAAGGCGCGGCGTCGAAAAACAACGTCAGTAGTAATAATAAAATGGTGGCAAACAAAAGCTATTAGGATTGTTCTAAATTGCAAAAGAAAAGGTGCCCCCCTTATATTTTACAAAAAAAATTAAACATTTTTTATTTTTAAGGCTATAATGTGTGATGGTTTGTAAACAAACATTTGTTGAAGTATAATCCAAATGAGGAAAATAAAAAATAAAAATAAATATATAATCAATCCTTTAATTAAAATTCCAATTGTTTTGTTGTAATTTTCTTTTGTTCTTTATGATAAATAAATTTGTAATTGGTTACTAAATATTTTATTTTGTATTCCAAAAATTGTTTGGAAAAATTAACATTTTTAGCTTTTCTTTTACCCAAAATCCAAAAAATAAAAATTCAAAATTAATTTAATTTAAAATATAAAAGCAATATATAATTAATTAATATATTTTTTTGTACGAATTTAATACAAAAAAGAAAACAAAAAACAGCGAACATGAGAGAGCATTTTTAGCAGCAAAAAACAGCTCCAAGCATTAAAGAGAGAGGTGATTTGAGGAAATATAAAATAATGGGTATTTATTTGGGTTAAAATAAATCTAAATAAAAAAATTAAAATATTTTTATTTTTTTGGTGGTAAAATGCAAAAAAAAAAGAATTAAAGAAAAATTAAAAAATAAAAGGATAGACAATTTTTAATTAAAAAATTATCAGTCCTTTTGCTTTTTAATAAAAAAAAGAAAGAAATGTTGTAAGAAAGGAAAAGGAGAACGGAAATTAAAGAGCTAATTGCAAATTAAATTATTTTTTAAATTACAAAATATTTCCAAAAAACATTTTTAGGAACGGATAAATGCAATAAAGCCCTTTTTAAAAAAAGTTAAGGGGAGAAAAAGAGAAAGGACCCGTTTTAGCAAGCATTTGTAAATTCCATAAGAAAATTGTAAAAATAAAAAGAAAAAATTAATAAAAGGATTAGATTGAAATGAAGAAACTTGAAAAAAGAAGTTTTGAATGTTGGGGGAAATTTAGAGTTGGGTAGTCTGTACTTATCATTTGGGTTATTAAAATATTGCCCGCCCCCTACTTCGTAATTTATAAGAAAATTCAACCAAAACATTCCAATAATTCCCCCAAGTACCAACATTTCAATAAGAAAAAAATTAGTGATTTTTAGCAGTTTTAATAGAACTCTATCTATCGTTATAGAAGTTCGTACTGCTTCAAATGGATGCGTTGGATTATGTCTCGGCAGTCATTGAACACCCTGCGGATATTTTCTGTATCCACGGCACACTAAAAAATTATCAAAAAATTCAGAAAATCGGAATTAATTAATCTCACAGTAAAATGCGGATAGCAAGTATGTGTGTGGCTATTATCTTTGTTGGTCACACCAGCAGATGAGATCTTCTGAAAATATTAAAAGGATCATTAAAAAAGCTAATAAAAATAATAAATAATTATACACTTTTCTAAACTTAGAGACAACTAAGTTTGTAACATAAAATGCCCAAAATCAGTGTGAAGAAATAGATTCACTATACAGATATTTCTTTAGTTTTTGTTTGATTATCTCAGAAACAAAATTCTATCGCTTCAAAGCAATCCTAAGGAAATTTCAAAAAAGGACGAGAAAGCGAAACAACAAAAATTCAAAAACTTGTATAGATAATTAAAATATATATAAAAAATAATTTCCAGATTTTAAAGAAAGTCCCTCGTAAAAATTCTAGCTAATTTTTTTTTGTTAATGTCTGAGCGAGTGAGGGTAGAATGTTAGAGAAAAAAAGGAAAAAGGAAATATATTAAGTAAAAAGTGTTGAGCGAGGGTGGATAAAACCCCTCTAAACATACACACAAAAACAAATATATTCTTTCTCTCCCCCCTCCAATCCCCCCATCAATTTTTTTCATTTTTTTCAGTTTTGTTGTTTACCGCAGTAGGGAAAGCTGCCGGATGGTGGAGGTCGTCGCTAAAATAGAAGCGGCTGACTAAAAATAGAATTTAGCAAATGCAATTGATGTTTCTATTTTTAGAAACAAGCTGAAATAGGAGTGGATCGGTGAATTAGAGAGAAATGAAAGGACGGCTGGCAGCAAAAAAAAGAAAAAGAATAAAGAAGAAAATAGTAATAAAATGTTAGGTAATAGAGAAGAAAATAGGGAGAAATTTTTTGAAAATTCCTCGAATTCTTTTTAACCATTTTACTAAATAAGTAAATATTAATTTAAATATTAATCTCGATAGAGTTAATATGTATGATTTTGTAGAAGGGAATAAATATCGATAAAAAAATCTCAAGTTAGAAACAAAGGAAGCGTTATCTCTATGTGGAGGCTTGAAGACGTTATAGAGATTTCCCCATCTGGTAGATTATAAGGAAGATAATCTACTCTCTTTTATCATTCCCAATTTAATAAAGAATTAATTTAATTTTTTTTTCCAATTTTATTTAAACTTCTTTTTTCCATCCAAACTCTTGTACTTAAATTTTTTGAAACTTTCCATTAAGTTTTTATAATCACCCCCTCTTTCCTTTATTTCATTCTTTTTCAGTTGAAATTTAGTAATATTATGTATACTATTGAAAGAAAAAAAAAGAGATGGGAGTAAAAAAAGAGTAAAGTAGTTAAAGTGAGCCATTCGGGCAAAGCACCAAAGGAAAAAAGAAAAAAAGGACCCCAAAAACAACGTTGTTGTTATTATATATAAAAGCGAGTTTCTAAAAATAGCATCAACAACAGCGTGTTATTTTAGTTCATTTTCATAAAAAGGAGGTTTTTATGTGTGTGCATGTTGAATATTTTGGTGGTGGTGGTGGTGGTGAGTGTTTTTGAGGAAAGAAAAGTGGGAAATGAGGGGAAAAAGAAGAATGATATAGAATAAAAAAAGGCAAAAAAAGCAATGGACAAGACTGGCTGTCGGTATTTTTCTCATATAAAGAATTGAAAAAATCGAAGAAATTTATATACATAAGTGCCGAAATGAAAAAAGAATGTTTCGTTTTTAAGACAAAAAAAATTTACGTTGAAATATGAAGGAGGAAATAAAAGAAGTTAATTAGTTAATATTTAATTAATCAATCTTAATTTTCATTTAATTTAGGGATCAATTTCCTCTTTCAAAGTAACATCCCCCTTAATTTATAAAAAACAAACTCACTAAAAATTCTCCTCGAATGTAGCATTTAGCCCTGTACACATTAGAATCTTCATCAGAAGGCATTCTCTCATCCATTGGCAGTTGATAATTAGCAAAGTCGGGAAAATAAGTTTCCAATTTATGCCGGCCCTCTTTGATTTTCTCGGCAAGCATATCTTGTTTATTGAGGAAAAGAATAACAGAAATACTTTTTAACCACCGATTGTTCCAAATATTTTTAAAAAGAGCTAAAGATTCCCTCAATCGATTTTGTGTACTGTCCTCCAAAAGCACCTAAATTAAAAAAAATATTTTTTAAAATAATTCAAAAAATCACCAAATTATAAGAGGAGGATGCGCACACAAAAATAATTGCAGTTACATCATTAAAACATTGAATCCACTTTCGACGTTCATCTCTTTGGCCTCCAACATCAAACATACTAAAAAAGAAGACAAAATATTTTTAAAAAATAATTTACTTTAAACTCACTGAAAGCGCACTTTATCAACTTCAAATTTTGTTTCAAATATTCCAGAAGTCATAACACGACAACGAAGAATATCCTAATATTAATTTAAAAATTAAAAGGAAATTATTTCTTCCTTTTTACTTGTTCAGAGGGATTATATTCTAATTTTCTAACTTCATCAACTTTATCTAAAAAATATTTGGCACAATCAATGAGCTGATATTCGTTAGACCGTTGAAAACAGCTTTGAACACCTTTGTCCGCCCAACAATTGGAAACATGATCGTAAAACTCCTAAAAAAGAAAGAGGAAAATTAATTTATTTTCCTCAAATTGATAATAATAATTTTTCTAGGTATGATATAAAATATCTTAAAAATGAATAAGTACATATATTCAATACAAAATAATTAAATTATTGAATACTACAAATTCAAAGATTAATTTTCTCTCTTAAATCTTTCTTTTTGCAAAACTCGTTTTTCTTCACCTTTTTTCAATCCAATAAATATTGAGGATTGAAGCCAATTACAAAAAAATTTAAGGGAAAAACTAAATATAAAATCAAAACTTTAAATATCTACATATAAAATCTACCAGTATAATTTATTTGCCTATTTTCCTACAAAAAATATTTTTCCTACAATGTATCCCCAATAAATGTTTTTAATTAAATTCACCATTATATTTTGAAATTTATTAAAAACGTTTTTCTCAAAAAAATTTTTTCTTATTTCTTTTTTCATTACTTTATCAAAGGCTACCATTTTTGATTTAAAAAGTATAAAAGGTTAAAAGGAGTGGGTGTGAAATGAGAAAAGGGCCCAAAACTTCCAAAAATAGAATAAAGCATAATAGGAAAAGTCAAACAACTTTTCTCATCAACAAATTTCAAAAACAAAACTTGGTCATAACCCTTCCCTTTACGAGATTATGAATCATCATTTGCCTAAAAAGACCTTTTTTAGCTGTAACTTGCAAATTTTACCAAAAAATGTATTTTTGGGAAAAACTTTTATGATAAAAATATTTTTTGAATGATGAGAATTTAAGTTTAAAATAGTCTCTACCTGGGTAAGATCATCTGATGGCATTTTTTCCGGAAGTGATAAAATGAAGGAACGACTAGCTTCATTAGCAGGATCACCAATAATAACAGGAGGATCTATCAAATCCATAGCTTTTAGAATAACCTGAGTTGGATATTTTCTGGTTTTTTTCAATTTTTAACTAAAACTTGCCGTAATCGAATCTTTAACATTTTGCCTGATATCCCTAATTTTTTCATGCTTTTCTTCCTCATTGAAGCCCTTAAGAATTAATATTTTGGAGAATAAATATAACAAAACACACATTAATGTGAAGAATGCGCATTTGTTTTACAATTGTTGATTTTCCACTTTCTCCAGCTCCTAACAACAAAAGCCTGTGAGTGGCACGTAGAACTTTTTTGTCCTTCTTTAATTCTTTGTTGATTTCTTTATTTACTTGTTTATTAAGTCTTTCGCGTTCACGTTCCTCTTCTTCTGCTTCTAAAAATTTTTTGAATTAAAACAGGCCTACGTTTGTGTGAAGTGTTAAAAAATTCATTGGTAAATAAATACCTCATTGACTCAGGGTTTACAAAAAATATAAATTCAATCCCCCTATTCAGGATGTGCCACTTTTGAAGTGACATAATAGGCAAACCCATCCACAATTCCCAGGTCAATTCTTTTATAAACTCCTCACCTGTCCCTCCACCGTTACTGCCTAGGACACAACCCATGATACGCATTTTCTTTTTGCTGGCAGTAGAATGGCGCTTCTTCTGATCGCCACCACCAGCAGACGAGGAGGACGATGACTGATGTTGTTGTCCGTTAACGGCGGTTCCAGTCGTCGCCGCTGCACTAAACGAGCCGGCCGACGAGGAACCACCGCCGGACCTGGCGGCGGTTGACCTTCTCTGCCCGTGCTGGTGTGAGCCACTGGCTTCTATTTTTGTGCTGATACACTGAAAAAAAGAAACATTGAACATAACTAACAAATGTTTGGAAACCTTATCAACAACTATATTTGTATTATCTCCTGTAGTCTCAATAATGTTGTTACTTTGTCCGTTCGTGGTGATAATAATATCGTTTAATTTCAATTTAAGTTGTTTATTTTCGTTAATTGTCCAATTGTTTTCCTTCGTTTTTATTTCGCCCGAATTAATAATTTGAATAACAGAGGTCGTAATTTTGTTTTTAGAACAGTAAAAACTATGAAGATATTTGGGATTATTCGCCCTTCACTAAAATCATTTAAATGAAAATTTTTTGGTTAAACGCTGATTTATTACGTTGAAGTATTTTTTAATATATTCGTTACTGCTACTTTAAGAAGATGTGATTATACAAAAGAAAATTAAAGAGTTAATTGACGGAAAGGATTATGTGATCAGCTGCCGATGTTATTTCCTCTAGGCAGATTGTGGTGACTTTTCATGCACCTCTTTAGGATTGAACAAGAGAGCTGTTTAGGCTGCAAAAAATTGTGTAAAAAATGGAAAATGATAAAAATGAAAGAAAAAAATATTTATATATAAATGGAAATATAAATAAAAGACTATCAAAAAATGACAATGCCTGAAATAAAAACACTAAAAGCGGTGGAAGTTTTGGTTTCTTCGATCGCTTTTTTATTGGGGGTTTTGTGATGACAGTTCAAAGTTTATACCCGGTCAAGTTTTGTGCGTGTGTATGAATATGTATGGAAAAATCATGAATTTAAAAAACGATGTTTTATGAGTGATGAAAAAACGGGGACTTGTGAAATGCGAGAAGGGCCTGATTTCAAATAGTTATAAAAGAGTAATCTTGTTAGTGATCCGTCTTTCAGTAATTCCGTTCTCATTGCTCCTAAAAGTTTTAACAGCGGGCTGATTAAGAGAATGAAGATTTGAAAGAATATGTTGAAATGAAAATGAGTAGAAAGTGCAATATAAATAAGAAAAGGACAGAGCCGCAGAATCCTCCTTAATAAGAGTAAAAACTGAGGGAAATGAATTGGCGATTGTGAAGAGGATGCGTGTGAAGTAAGAATAAAGGAAGGCCTGCGGGTTTTGAGAAGAATAGGAAAGTAAAAAAAGAAGAGGACAGTCTGGACCATAAGCAATTGGCGTTAGCTCTGCCGCCACAAATGGGCCATGGGGATGGAAAGTGAGGAAGAACGGAGAGAAGGATGGGCAATAGGAGGCGAAAAATGGGAAGAGGAAAAGAAAAAAGGCGGTCCAAGCCAGCCATCCCAATGCAGCAATAGAGGTTCTTTTGATACAGACTTGGGGTGGCCGTTTGTTGGCAATGGCTGTGACAGCCGGTAGGCAGAAAACGGATAGAGTAAGGAAAGGCATACAAGCAATAGATATAAAAAGCTGGGTGATGGCTCGACTGCACGACTTTATTAGTTTAAAATAGCCGCAATCAGTAGTGCGAAGAAACAGAAGAGGATCGGGAAATATATATAAAGATGAGCCTAGGCACATGCGCTTCTTTTATTGATAGAAATGAGGGAAAGAATGCCAGAGCTATCGCTAAATTGAAGGCAATATCCAGTGACTATTGGGGTATATGAGGCTATGAAAGGTTCAGCTGTGTCTAGCATGCTGAATATAGAGCAGACTAAAATATTTGAGGGATATCTATAGGAAGGCGACTTTATGTAGAGAATAAGTACGAGAGAAAGTTAGATAAAATAGCGGTAGTTTGAATAAAAAATGCTTTTGACTGACAATACATACACAATATATGTATCTATTTCTAACCACAGGATTTCACCTTCATTATTTATATTGAAAATTTAAAAAACGCTAGAAATCCTTTGAAGTTACTTATTAGAAGGGTACCTATTCCCCCAGATATAAAGGATGCATCCAAAAGTACCAACCTGACCAGCCTTGCTTTGTGAATGGAAAACCAACTAACCTAATTGAATGTAGTGCAGTTTGAACAAAATTGACCAAATTATGCCAAAACAAGATCACTTTGTTCTATTAAAATTTAAATAAAAATAATTAAAAATAAAACAATTTTGAAATGAACATTACTGAATGAAATCATTGAAATTTTAAAAATATTAATAAAATAAAAATTTAATTTTCTTTTATTCTTTTAATGAATAAAAAATCACAAATATAAAATAAATCGAAATAAAATTAGTATAAATTTAAAAAAGAATATTTTTCTTAAATTTTGCACAAAAATATATAATTTTTGAGATTTTCCAAAAATTATTTTTAAAAATGTCTATAAATTTAAAACAAAAAAATAATTTAAAAAGCTCTGTTCTCAATATTTGTTAACCAAAATCAAGCATAGCTAGTCTTAACAAAATCAGTACAAATACACTGTGGTCGACATTTGCCAGTCTTACGGCGTTGTGAAGTCACTTTCGAATCAGGTGAAGTCTCACTTGTCGAGTAATGAACAGTAATTAAATTCTCCAAATTTTCAAGCATTTCTTCTACTGGTCTGATCAATGTCTCCGCACTAAATAATTTTTTAAACAAAATTTAGATATTAAATACACTAATCAAGAGAAATATAGGATAAGAAACAATAAATTATCAAAAAATTTTCAAAGAATTTGGTTTACACTCTAAAAAATTCCAATACAAATTTTACTAGTTCAAAAAACCTCAAAAACTCTCATTTCTAAATTATGCCTTAATAATTAAAAAAAATAATTACAAACATTAATGGCGCGTCCTCTATAGGAAATGTCGATTCCATAGCATGGCATCGTTTCAATTCCAATAATAGACCACTCACACAGCCAATAAAACAAGTAACACATTGACTGAAAGAATTACCTAAATAAAAAATAATTATATTTAAAAAGTCACTAACCTTCCTTTTTTAATTGCGGCAGAACAGTACCTCTAGTAGATTCACATGCTTGAAAACAGGCCTAAAATAAATTTTTGAATTTAATTTATTATTTTAATTTAAAACCCTTGCAACTTCTTCAGTCTCCTTTCTCAATGCTAAACCATCACTTGAAGTACCAATTTGCTGGACATGAACTCGAAGCGATGAAAGACTGAGATTGCAATCACCCAGCAACTAGAAAATAATTAACAATATAAAACCAAATAATTGCTTATTAATTTGCCTAAGACCAATGGATAAAAAAATAACGGTTAAACAAAGGCATAGGGTCTCATTTATTTCTCCTTTATATGTACAAAATCGTCAGTTTCTTCCTTATCAATTTCACTCTATTTCTTAATGGCATATTCAATTAAACATTATTTTTTCAATGCCATCAAGTATTCTGGAAGAAAGTTTGACTGTATAAATTTGGGGAGAAAAAAAAGAGCTGTCTTGGTTTAAGGAAAGTACTAAAACCAAATAAAACAAAGAAAGTGGAAATATTTGGGCGAACACTCAAGTCAATAATTACAAAAATTAAAAAAACCTCATTCAGTTTACGCATACTCAAAACAGAAGCTTGACGTAACTTTGAAGACATTTTTAACCTGACTTTTTATAAATTTAAAAATATTTTTTTCTATTTAGATAAAGTAATGTTAAGTAAATATAAACAAAAAGTAACAAAAATTTATGTAATGAAGTTGATAAAACAAATATAAAAATATTAATCCTAAAGAATTTGATTTAATATTATCCAGTTTTTGTTTTAAAAATTAAAACAAAAATAATTAAAATCTCATTAAACTCATTAGGATTAAAAAAATTCAATGCACGCGTAAATAAACTCGTGCCTATTTTTATATATTTTTAAGTCAATTAATGCATGTGTGTGCGAAAATTGATCAGTTAAGATTGCAAAAATAGAGATGAAAGGAAAAAATATATGCGATAGTTTGTCGCCAATCATGATGACGTAAAAATTAAGCGAGCACATGATGCATGAAAATAGTAAAATTTAGATTTTAATTAATGACAAGATTTTTAAACAAATAATTCGAGTTTTACAATTATTTATATTATTATACATAAATTTACAGCCAATTTGCAGTTAAATAAAGATTAAAAATCATTATAAGAGAATGTCAAATAAAAATTTATTTTAGGTATTAAAAAGTCAACTTTTAACGCAAACTGGCATAACAAAAAATAAAGAATTTAAATATTTCAAAATATATAATTATATAAAACTGTGTAAGCAGAATTGACTTTGTTTTAAAGAAAACACTCAACAAATTATTGAAGCGTTTCTAAAAAACATAACCATTAAACCAATCACAAAATAATTTTAAAATAAAATTTTATTTTTGGAAAAATAGAAGTGTTAAAAGGAAGCCACATTAGATACTTCTCTCCATTTCGTTAAACAATCTCCAAACCTCATCAATATTATTAGCTTTTATCAAAAGAAGCGACAATATCCGTAGCAAGTTGAGGATGTTCTTTGATTATAGAAATCCATCCAGCGGTGTGTACAATTTTTTTAGGATGAAGTTTGATAAAATGTAGCACCTTTTTACGTAAGTTTGAAGCACCATACCTAAGAAAAATAGGTTAATTAAATATCAACAAAATATTAAACTCACATATCAGCAATAATTAGCAAATGACAAGCATTGTCGAAATTAATAGCCTGTATAAGGCTTTGTTCACAATGATTCTTTAATTCTTCCAATCTGTAATTTAAAATTGAAAGGAATAAAATTAAATATTAAAAACCTATATTTGTCAGCAGCAATAAGTAAATCAGAAGCAATCTCGCTCAACTCCCCAGAACTTTTTCCACAGTATATAAACCGAAGCATTTCCTTTACAACGTTATATTCAACATCCTTTATTTCGAGTATACCCTTAATTTTAAATTTAAAAAAGTTGACAAAATTAATTTTGATACCGTTTTTGATTCACTAGTATCAACATGTTGCAGCATTGCTGAAAAAACAGGTGAGCGAGCAGCGAGTATAGCTTTGTGCACGTGAATCTCTTTGTCTTGGACTTTAATAGTGAAATCGGTAAGCACCATATCACTCAGCAGTTTCAAATAATCTTCGCCAAGTTGCCTCTCACAAGTGCAACTTCTACATGGCTGAAAATAAATTACAGATAAAAATTATTAGACTAAATCTTTACTCCAAACGAATCATCTACAGAAGTTGTGATTGTCTCAACAGCAACGTCAATCTCAACAAAGACAGTAATACTATCAGCAGGTTGAATTTGAGGAAAGAGAACATCTCTTTTTATATAAGAAACATAGTCAGAATGTGAAGGGTTTGGATGAACTCGCATTTCAATATCCTTCCCTTCACTGTTTTTAAGGTAGAATCGAGACCTTAAAGTGATTTACAATTAGAAACAATAAAGCAAGCAGAATATTTATTAATGAATCTAACAAATTAACCTGAAACCAATCTTGTTATTTTTTACATTTGTGCCAAGAACCCTATTCAGGCAGAGAAAAACAAAATCCTAAAATCTTAAAGATAATCTAAAACAAAAGACCAAATTAACCTTGTTGTTTTCACCATTTCACTTTGGATAAATCTTAATTGACCATGTCAAGTCGCTATTCGGCAGATTCACATAATTTTCCAAATATTCCTGATAACAATGAGAAATTCTTTACTGTCCAATTGTGCTTTAGATACTAAAAAATAAACAACATCAAAACATCTTTTAGATTGCTAGCAATCCCCCAATTTTCCTACTAACAAACCTCTACTCGTATTTCAGTTTGTGAAGCATTGGTAGTTTGAGAACTGCTACCAGCTGACTCTATAGGCATTGAAAGTTCAACTGATTGGCACGTAGGCTCCATTCAATAAAGAGATAAAACAAAACCTTTTAAATGTTTTTTTTAGCAATTATTAATAATTCGTAAAGATATTTCATGTATGTATAAAAACAATCAAAAAATCATAAATTTATATATATCTATTTACTCGTTTTCAATAATTGATTGTAAATTTTTAAATTGCGATGATGATTCTTTTTTTTTGTTTTTCTCATTTAAACAATTCATCTCATCGTTGTTTTATAAAGAACCAAAAATTAATTGTTGGAGAAAAACGGATACCCTTTTCGGTGAGAATAATCAAGATCTTTCAAAGTTATATGTGCATATAGTACTGAGAAAATGAAAGGCATGGAGAAAGATAAAAAAACAAATGAAAACAAATGCAAAACACAATCCTAGAGAATTAATTTGATTTTCAGTAGATACATATTTTTTCTTATCTTTTTGGTTAAATATTCTCCAAGATTGCTTGATTAGCGGGAGATATAAATGGTAACAGAAAAATATTCTGATAACCTAAAACTAACTAAACTATAAATATGTGGCAATGACACCTGAAAACAAAAATTGGAAAAGTTAAAGGAGGATATATGATCTTGAGATACAGAATAAAACAAAAAAGATAGTGTTATGGGATTATTCCTATACGGGATTTAGCACATGATTTTTAAGTATTTGTCGCCCACATTTAAATATTTTCAGCAAAATTGAGCATTGTCAATCTTGTTTCTCCTTCTTTTCTTCATGTTTAGTTGTTTCAACTATGTCTTCTTTATTGCTATCTAATGACAAAATAGAATTTTGATGACCGTGGCAAGAACCAAAAAGCAATTCTCGCAACCTGTAAATATTGCGTTTTCGCCCACTTAGAAGTTCATCACTGATAAGTAACTTCAATAATGGACCACAATATAAATTTTTTATATAATGAGAGAGTTGATTACAATGGTTTAATGTTGTACCAATTGTTCTAAAGGCGTCATAAAAGGCTTGCCGGATTGTCTTTAAAAAGAAATTATAGAAAAGAGAAAAATAATTACCAAAATATTATGAGCTGAGCGACCAAGATTGTTGCCTAAAAATAAAAGGATTCAATTTGCAAAAAACAAATTTTTGAGTTTTGAAAAGACGAACCTCTTTCACAAGGATCGCAAATGAAGACTGGACTCGAGTAAAAAATTTCTTCACCAAGTTCTTCAATCAATTCCTTCTTATGCAAAACCAACGAAGCCGATACACGATTTCGAACTTTTATGCCCATTTCAGAATAATCAAAACAATAAAAGTAGAAGAAGAAATAGTGAAGTAAAAGGCCTAACGGTTTCCTTCCAATTAGAGTCATGTAGTTATAGGAATCTTTATGAGAAACATCTGATTTGTTTTTTAAACGAATGTACTGAAAAATTATAATCTACAATAGAAAAACACAAAAAAGAAAAAAACCTCCAAATAATGAACCAACATAACAACAAGAGCATATGACGGCAATCCACCCGTATATGGATTATTAAGACCACGCTGTGCAAGGAAAAGCTTCAAAACAAGCAATAAGGGTTCCAAATGAGGCATAAAATCTAGCTTGTCTCGAATCCAGCCAACAGTTCGATCAATACGCCCATTAATGTTAAAATTAATATCAATATTTAGTTGTGTCAACTGATCAGTACATTTGACAAGAGGAAAGGCTAAAAAATAAATTTTCAAGTCATAAAAGAATAAACAAAATTAAAAAATCAACAAATATTTTTACCAGTTTTATCCAAAACATGAATATTCTCGAAGTGGAATCCCCTAAAAATTTGAGGAAATGTGAAAAAACTAAAAAATATCTATAGCTTAATATATTTTTACAAAAAAGAACATACTTTAAAACATCAGCTACTTTATGAAGGTCTTCTGGTATTTGAATTGAGTTTATAGTCCTAACACATATATCAATATCTGATGAAGGGAGAAAGGAATTTGTTGCTAAATAAATAGAATGGATTAATCGTTTCATAAATTATATTATTCATAGATTTGCCCAGAAAAGAAAAATTCCATCACTACGCCGGAATTTTTGTAGAATTTCGAACTATCCCTAATGCCAAAACCTCAGGGGTGCTTAAGGAAAATTCATCTATTTTCGCTATTCCCTATATTTAATTTATCCCTGATTGTTTTTTTCTTTGAATTTTAATTAGTTTATTGTAAGGGTGCTTAAAATTTTCTGTGTGTATATTGAATACAGGACAAAAAGACTAATTATCATCGAATTTAATGAATTGACGATTTAATGAATCGACATAGGGCAGAAAGTTATCAATGTTTAAATAAAGCAAAAACAAATTCGAATCATCTTTAACCCTAATTAAAGAAAAATTGAATAAATCCATACCAACACTCCCAAACATTTGTACATTAGAGTCGGGCCAAATCCCTTTAATTATATCACTTGTTCTATTAAAAAGCAGACGACGGGACCAAATCTCTTCTGCTGTAGGTTTTAGCCAATTATATAAGTCTATAATTTCATCGTGAAGACTTTCAATTGTTGGCTGATATTTTAGTCTTGCCCAGCAAGGACGAGAGCGTGAAAGAACAGGTACTTGGTTAAAATAATTGGCACAAACTAGCTGTCCATGTTCATTTACTGCCACAACTAAGTTATTGTTGTTAGTTGAAGCACTGCTGGCAGAGCTTGTTCCAGCACTCTCATCCATGCAAAAATGCTCAGAGGAAGACGAAGAACTTAAGGAAAAAAGGTAAATTTTTAAATAACTAGATAATTATTGAAAAAAGCTCATAAAGCTGACTTGAGCCGAATAACAAAGAATCAATTTGATTCACGATTGTGAACAAAAAATCAAAACTTTGGCCAATTTAATTCTCGTCCGACTCACATCAGCTCGACAAACTATTTAACATAGGCTATCCGCAGTACGGTTTTTAATTTTATTACTTCGTTTCTTATAATAATACATTTAGTTATCTATTCACAGATAACAAGAGACTGCCTTGCAAAACATTTAAAAATTAAAAACCTTGTTCTTCCTGAGTTGCCATTAATTCTTTTAGTACTTGTATCATTCGAAGTGTGTTGTTGGAGAGAATTTTGTTGGTTATATTGTTCATCAGTTGTAACCAGGCACATTTGAGTTTTATTGTTCCTAAAAATAACCAAGAAACTATTTTCGAACATTTTAGCAATAAAAATCTCTTAAACTATCTGAATTCAAAAATTAATTTTATCTTGTATGTATCAGTTTATCTGCATCATACTATCAAAAAATTGCTTAAAGCTTTAACCTCTTAGAAACCATTTAGTTGAGTTGATGTTTTAAATAATTAGAGAAAGAGTTGAAGTAAGTTCTCAATTATCAACTAAAACATTTATTTAACTACAAATTAGACAAAGATGTTAGCAACTAATTGTAAGAAAAATCTGGTGTTAAACGTATTAAAAAATATTTGCATCAATTTTGGGCCGTCCCATTTAGTCGCAAGGCACCAACTTTTGAAAAAGGAGATTACAATTGGGGACAAAGACAACTGGGCAGAAGACAGTTAAGCAGTGGACAATTGGGCACAATCGTTGTTTAGATAATTTGAGAGAATAAATAAATGGTGTTATGACATGCGACATATGTAGAGGACGACAGGGATTAAATAAAATTTAAAAAATGGACCAAATGTTTCCGTACAAAGACCCACTGTAATAGATGGAATGGTTATTCAACGCGCAAGTCGAGCTGATTTGATTCGAATGACATTGTTTTTAGGCCAAATGTGAGCCATTTTAGGCCCATTGTTTTTAGGCCATTCAATCAGAAGTCAAAAGGGCAAAAAACACTTGGTCCTATTCTATACTTGAGGAGGGACACGCCCACATTGTCGCGGGCCACTTTGTCGCGACCACTTTGTCGCAGGCCACTTTGTCGCAGGCCCACTTTGTCGCAGGCCACTTTGTCGCAGGCTTTCCTTTGATTTTTATTTTAAAATTGGCCTTGATTTTGCTCGCCACGTGCCGTACTTCATCCCACGGCTACAACGATGGGAAACGGCACTGCTTAGGGTCATAAATTTAATAAGCTAAGCACGACAACGGGTTTTTTTTTGAATTTTTTGATAAAGTTTTTAGGTGTTTTTCCCTTTTATTATTTTCTCTTATCCGGGTAAGTTCTGCCGGAATTTTTAACGGAGTAAAACCAAACCAGATTACTCCAGAAAACTCCGATCGTGCCCAGAAAGCCTTTTCCTACCCTCCATAACAGCATAAATTTTTTTTACCGAAAAAGACCTTTGCGACAAAGTGGCCTGCGACAATGTGGGCCTGCGACAAAGTGGCCTGCGACAAAGTGGTCGCGACAAAGTGGCCTGCGACAAAGTGGGCCGTACCCACTTGAGGAGGTGCCGTGTGATTTCGACAGAAGTGAATTAGGCAGTGAGCTAATTGGGCAGTGAGTGATTTGGGCAGTAACCGTTGTTTGAGTATTGAACTTAAAAATTTCCAAAAATAGGTGGGTGATTGTGGATCCGGAGACATGTTTAAGCCACCCATCTCTTTTCGTTTAATTTTATTAATGCCAACTTGTCTTTATAATTATTCATTTTTAAAAAATTAAAGTAAATACATATACGTAAGGCATAATTATTCTTCTAGTGATACTCAAATTGCTTTTGCTTGAAAGAAAATTTTAAAAAAAATGTTTACTGCCTAAATCACTACTGCCCATATCACTCACTGCCCAAATCATTCACTGGCGAAATCACCAGATACGACTTGAGGAGTCATCTGCTAAATTTGAAAACACGAAATATGTATGTAATGGCAATTTATGGGGTAATTTGGGTGAATTTATTCACCTACTCACTTAACTTATGGCTCCTCAATTGTAGAATTTTTTTTCAGGATAGTATCAAGTTGTTTTTTTTGTAGCAAATTTTGTGGGATAATCGACATTAAATTAAACATAAAATCAAATATAAAAGTGATATATTTACAGTTGGAGTTAATTTCATAAAAACAGCTAATAATTATACATTTTACCCTATTTTTAACTTTTGTTTACTGTTGAATTTAGTCACGGACGGAATTATTACTGACGAATTTCACTGTTGAATCAAGTTGCTGTCGAGTCCTTTTAGTTACCATCGAATTTAACAGATACATTTGTGGATAAAAATTCGTTTTTTAATTTAAATATTTTATGTAAATAATGAGTAACGATTCTCTTTACGCTCCATCAATCATGTGGCGCTGAAATTCGAAATTTTTTTCGGCGCCTGAATTTTGTCATATCGATTCATTTTGTCGATTCGGTTGGCCGAAGAATCTAGTGAAGTCTAAAACACTAGGTTGGAACGAAAAGAAAGTTCACTATGTAAAAATTGATCTGCGCATCATTCTGAAATCGTAGTCACAAAATGAATTTTCACAGATCGGAATAAGTGATTTTAGGAAGTAACAATGTCTGATGAGTTAGGCGAGTACACTAGAATTTCTTCTTAATTGAGAGTTACCGTAATGCAGCCGGAGTGAATTTGCATAGGGCTAAATAGCTGATTGAATATGCATTTCTTTAAAAAAATAATTAAAGAAATTTTTTGACAAATTTATTATATTTAGTTTTATTAATACAAAATTTATTTAATATGACGACAACAAAATAATTTTTTTATTTTTTTTTCTTCCTTCTTTTTGAAAAAAATATTTCTTAAATAAATTATTGAGATTAAAGATAAATGGGATTGAAATACTATATTGTTCTGATCATCTAAAAACGAACAATTTTTTAGGGTTTAAAAATTAAAAACAAATTTGTAGTTAAAGTATTTTTAAGAATAAAGTTTAAATTATAATTTTAAAAATAATTTTATGTTTTACATATACTATGACTCGATGATCATTAATCTGAATAAAAATAAGCCAATCCCACGAAACTAAAAATAAAAAATTTCTTTTTAAATTTTTAAAATCCTATATATAATTTTAGATTTAATGTATGTCTGTCTGTCTGTCTGTCCGTCCGGGGGTCATTTCGGCGCAAGTTTTTGTTTGGGCGTAACAAAAGACAACTTTCCGTCCTCTCGATAATTTCGCCGCAAGTAAAGTTTGGCGTACACTAATGTCAAGTTATATGTACGACTACTCTGTAGTTTCGGCGCCTGTATGTTCATAGTTATTTCGGCGCAAAAATTTTTTGCGGCGCGAAAACATAAAAGTTATTTGTCCGGATGGTAATTTCGCCGCAATTAAAGTTTGGCGTCGTAATAAAGTTAAGAGTTTTCTGAGCATTGTAATTTTGGCGCACTCAAGGAAAAAATTCTCACAATGGGTAGCTTAAAGTTTTGACTTTAAGGAGATAAGCATTCCGACAAAATAATAAGAGTTCCGGTCATGGATTTTAATGTGATAAGAGTGGCTTTAAAGAACTTAGAAGGAGATAAGAGATTAGCTCTGATAAGATGAAAGCCCCGGTTTGAAAGAGATATACTAGCAGAATTTTCCCGCTTGAATGAATCAATTCCGGCACTGGAAGTGAAATGGGTTGCAGTTTAATCCGGCCTTTGGTAATCTGAGAGTACCGCGTTGTTTGGAGAAGCGGTTTGGTTAGACTTGACTGATAGGAGACACTTGGTAAGTAAGAATTCTGGCAATGGATTGACAAGAATTTTGGCGCTGAACAGATAATAGTTCAAACAATGGGTAAGAGTTGTGGCCATGGATAGATTAGAGTTCACGCAATGTGTAGATTAAGTTACCGGAAATTGGTAGATAAGAGTTCATACAATGAGTTGATATACAGTAAGATAAGTGTAGATAAAAGTGCAGACAATGAATATGCAAAAGTTTCGGCTTTTGGTAGATAAAAGTTCCGACAATTGGAAAATAAAAATTCTGACAATGGGATGACAAGTGCTTTGGCAATGAATAGATAAGGGTTCTGCCAACGGGTAGATAAGAGAAGATAATAGGTAGATAAACGTTCAAATAAAGAGTAGATCAACATTAAGAGGTGTAGATAAAAGTGCTGGCAAAGTATTTCCGGCATTTAGTAGATAAGAGTTCTGATAATGGGTGTTAAATGTTCTGGCTGTGTGTAGTTCAGACAACGGGTATATAAAAGTTCCAGCATTGGGAACAAAAGAAGTCCGACAATGGGAAGAAGAGTTTTGGCATTAATAGGAAAGAGTTTTGGCAAAGGGTAGGCGAGAGTTTAGGGAATAGGTAGACAAAAGCGCAAACAATGAGTATATAAGCTTTAAGACAGGTGTAGCTAAAATTGCTACATGGGGATTTCCTGGACTTGGTAGATAAGAATTCTGATAATTGGTTTTTAAAAGTTCTGGCAACGTGCAAATAAAAGTTAGGCAGTAGGTAGTTAAGAGTTCTGACACAGGGTATATATGAGATCAGATAATTGGTAGAAAGAATTTATCTCTTCGGTTCACTTTTATCTACCAAAAGGTAGCCAAAAGTCTGGCACATTTGGTAGATAAGTATTCTGACAATGGATATTTAAAGTTTTGACAATGAGCAGGCACAAATTTCTATGGTTATAAGTACTATATAAACACCAGGGCTTTTGACTTTGGATAGATAGATTCTGGCTTTGCTTTGATATCATATTGCCAAATACTAAAGGCAGATAAAGGATTTTTGTATTAGCAATGGGTAGACAAACGTACTGAAATAAAAGTTCCGGAATTGGGCCACTAATGTTAAAGATTATGAATGTGTAAAAGTTTCAACTAAAGGTAGATAAACACAACAACAATGTACACATAAAAAAGGGGTGCATTGTACATATTAGGCTAGCGGAGGGGCTCGCCCGAAGGGCGAGCCTCTCCGCTAGTTTATTTAAAAACATATAAATAAAAATGAAGTGCTTAAAAAATAAAATAAAACTACAAAAAAATAATTTTAGATAATGCTAAGAATAATATAAGAGAGAGAGAGGTGCTTTTAATTTTTTATGTGTAATAAGAGGATTGTAGTGACAAGAGAGAGAAAAACCCATATTTTTTATTAGGAATTATTGAGGTTTGTGCTGAGACTAAATCTATAGAAATTAGGATTTAAATTAAGAAGGAGGAGGGAGATATAAAAACGAATATTTCTGTATTGTCCTAAATCTTCTTTCTCAAGCATTGAAACTTTAAGTATTTCATACTCCTACATATCTCAATGGGATAAAGTAGAGACTTTAGTCTAATATTAACCGAAATATTCGTTAATTTGTTTTTTATATTTAAGAACAAATATTCGAAAATATATTTATTTGTTAAGTTTTTATTTTAAATTATGGGATTTAATAATATATTTAATTTCTGAGGAATTAAACTATTTTAAATAGATTTACAACAATTGACAAAAACAAATAAACAAAGGGTTTTTAAACAATAAAAAGATTTACTTATAGGGATCGGGATAGATTTGATTTTCCAAGTTCCATGGTTAATATCAGTTTACAAAGTTTCTTGATTTTTCCTTGAATGGTCAATGTCGGTAACTAAAAACTTTCTCAAAAATCTCGATCTCTAATATTTAGTAAATAAACAGCAATTTAGATGCTCAAATAATAGAAACAAAATAACAATTAAATTCAAAAATAGATTCATTTAAATCTCTCTAATTTACAAATGTGGCTACATAACCAAAAAAAATAAGTAAATTTGTTTCAAGAAAATTAGTTAAAATTCAAGATAACCTAATTAAATATTAAAAAAAACTAAATAAAATAAATTGGCTAGAAAATTGGAATATATTTTCACCCCGCATATCTATGAGCGATTTCCCTATCATAAAAAAAACAATTTTTTTCCATTTTAATATTTAAATGCCGATAAATAAGGTCCAGCAGAACAAGGTGTTTGTTGTTGTTGTTGTTGAGTATTATTATTTCCATTGTTAATCATTTGGGGTGGGGGTGTGTTTACAAAGAAATATTGTTGTTGATGTTGTTGAACCTAAAAAATAAATTTTTGAATAAAGAAAAGAGGAAGGAGGGGGAGCGGGGGAGATTTTAGAAAATAAATTTCTTAATTATTTTTAAAATAAATTACTTGATAAAAAGCCCCTCCAATACTACAAGATTGTGTACTTAATGGAGGTGAACATGCAGACATATGTCGAGGACCGTGTCTACTAATATTTCCAACACAATCACTTTCTACTTGAAGAGAACGATATTGCTTTTGTTGTCTCCAATTATTAGCTCTATCAATTACTCCTCCTCCTCCAATATTAATTGCTTCTCCTTTTTGCTTTTCTCCTCCGACAATTTCTGTATTTGTTGTACTAATACATTCATTATCTGTTATTATATTATTTCCTAAAAAAAAGATAATTTTAAAAAGAATTTATTTTGTAAAAAATCAACAAAATCCTCTAATCTATTGTCAAGTAAATTTATTTAATTTTGAGTCAAAAAAAGAAAGGTTAAATATTATTTTTTTCCTTAAATTAATTGATTATTCAAAATAAAATATTAGAGCATTCAGTTTTAAATAAATTCAAATAATTTCCAATACTTACCAATATCAGAAAACAATTCCCCAAAATAATCAGAATTTATAATATTTGTTTCATTATTTTTTCCATTTATTTCTCCCCCAGTTTCCATAGTCAAAGAAACAAAAGAATTATTTTGTTGATTATTAGCTTCAGGAGAAGATAATTCACTAATTTGTGTTTCTGGTTGATATACTGGAGCTAATAATAATTGTTCCATTCCACAAAGTAATTGCTGTCCATTATTATTAGTATAAACATTATTGGCAGTAGAAGAAGAAGAGGAGGAGGAATTAATTGAAGAAGAAGAGTGGATATGTTGTTGATGATGATCGAGTAGTTGAGAAGTGTTATTAAATGCTTTTAAAAAATAAAATTAAATTTTGAGAAAAATATAAATTTTTGAGATTTCCTGGGGGGGGGGATAATAAAATCAAATTTGGAAAGGGTATAATGAAGTTGAAATACTACATAAATCGAAAACTTGAATTTGTCATGAAACAAAATTTCTTTTTTTTTTAGATCTCCAATATAATATTTTTAATATCAAGAGAATAATGTAATTATTCTTAAATTTATTTAATTACCATTAGAAAACCCAAAATTATTATTATTTGTTGTTACTGTTGATCTATTAATACAACTATTACTACTACTACACCCACTACTACTACTACTAGTGCTGCTGCTGCTTGTATTACTTTTACAACTTCCAGAAGAAATTGGTTGACATAAGGGAGGGGAATTAATTAAAAAATCTTCATTATTTAATTGTTGTTCTAATAAATAATTATTATTTACTCCATTTCCTCCTCCATTATTATCAAAAATTTCAGACAATAAAGGATTTAATGATTGTTTTCCAAACATTCTAGCTAATTGAACATTTTCTAAATAAAGTGATGAAACTTTAGCTACAGCAGGTAATAATAATAAAATATTTGCAAAACGAGAACTGGCTCTGTTAATTGATTGATCACAACGTTCTCTAACATGTTGAAATAATGCATTTTGTAATTTATCTTTTATTTGATATAAACCACAATGTTCTCCACTTTCTGGATCTCCTAAAGAACTTCGACTATCTAGAAAAAAATAAATGATAAAAAGAAAGAATGGACTAAGATTAGTGTTAGGTTATCGGTTGGTCTAAGAATATTTTGAAATTAATTTAAATCCTTTTTTAATTATTTTGAATTATCAGATTGGGTAAAATAAAATAAATTATTATTATTTTAAATTCAAATACCTCCATCTAATAAAATTAAAGCAGTCAAGGCAACTCTTTCTTGTTCAGATAAACATAATTTTCTGAGAGGAATAACTAAATCATCCAAAACTCTTCCAACTAAATTATTAGCTAAAAGACTTGAATCCCCTCCAATCATCCATTGTTGTTGTTGTTGTTGTTGTGTAGATGTTGAAGAAGAAGAAGAAAATTCTCTCGGTAATACAGATCCATTACATAAAAATAATTGATTTAGAGGGGAATTTTGTGTTGAATTATTTAAGGAGGCTGTTGTTGCTGCTTGTTCAAATGTACAAAAAGCGGCAAAAGAATTTTTTAAAAGATCCAACTAAAAAATAAAAAAAAATTATTTATTTATTTAATAAAAAAACCTTTTCTTTTGGACTATCTAAATTAGCCATAAGGAATATAGCATTTACCCAATCAACACACATTAAAACATATTTCCGCATTGCTGCTGAAAATATTTGTCCACAAGCTAAGCGGCCAGGTTCTATTGGAGAAATCTGTTTGTAATTAAAATAATAAATAAACTGCGAAGAAATCTGTCAAAAATCTCAGTTATCGAGATGGAGATTGTTTGATATACATACAGTATGTTAAGGGGATTAAATTTGAAATGCATAGAAATTATGCACATTTTGAGGGTATTTTGGGGGTACTAGAATTTACTAAGTCTGACCAGAATTTTTTCTGTGAATAAAGACTAAGTGTATCTTGTAGCAAATTTTATGGGCTTTCACACGAGCCTAAAGAAAAATTCTTAGTAAAGTCTATATGTGTGAAAATATTTTTCAAAGAACTGTACCCCCATTTCCCGTTGATTTCTGAGATTTTTGGTTATAATTTCTTAATTTACTTTAATATAGTTAATAAACCAAATTCAGAAATATTTACCGGTTCTTCGAGAGAATATTCGGCCAAAGTTTGTGGATTTTGTAATAACATAAATAAAGAAATTTCTGGATCAGGTTTAATATTTCGCCGTAATTGTATTGCTGAAGTATTTGGAACAGAAATTCCAATAGCTAATTCTACAAAAGGAGGAGAAGAATTGTTGTTGTTGTTATTTGATGGGGATAATAATAAAGAATTATTAAAAAATCTTTCATTATTTGTTGTTGAAGGAAATAAACTTCCCTCCCCAGCCTTGGAATGTATATCCATAAAAACCCCGAGAAGTAAATCTTCCTGTTGAGAACTTTAAAAATTAATTTATTTTTTATTTGTAAAATAAGAAAAAACCTATTAGATTCAGCTCCAGGTGAAGGAATACAACAAAAATTATTATTATTATCTCCTCTCTTATTTTTATTTTTTGTTTTTAAATTTTCTGATTTAGTATTTTGTTGTAATAAAAGTAATTTCTTTTTTCGAGGATTTTTCTGTTTTCCAATAACATCTCTATCTGGTCTAATTGCTGTTACTTCCATTCCAACCTGTAAACAACGTTGAAAACGACAAAAACGACAAGCATTGCGTTGATCTAAATTGTTGAACTTTATTTAAGAGGATTATAAATTAAAATAAAAATGTTTATCTGAAAGATTTAGAGGAATTAAGAGGGCTATTGTATGATTTGGGGGGGGGGTTAGAAGGGATATCAGGAAATCCGGGGATTAAGAGGGATATCGGGAGATTTGGGGGGATAGAGAGGGATATCATGCTGGTGGTTTAATGGGATCAAAAAATGTATTTAAGGTGATTTAGATAAAACGGGCTTATATTAAAATACCCGGATTCCGGACTACCGAATGTGGAGTCCAGGTCCGAACTCTATTCCTAACCCTTTTTTTATATTTCCTCTTATTTCCCAATCTTTACCTTTATCTATACTGCAACGTTTTTGAAATCGGCAATTGTAGCTTTGTTTGGATCGAATAGTCCTAAAAAATATAATTCTTATTAAATTCTCGAATATTTTTTATATATTTTATTAAACTGAGAATTTTATATTTTTTCTCTCAAATATATATATTTTACAACAAATATTTAAATGTTTTTAGAAAATAAAAGACCTTCTAAAAAAGCCTTTACATCCATAACAAGCCATCACCTTTAAAAAATTAATTTAAAAAATTTACAAAATTAAAAATAATTAACTCCATAATGCCTTCCAGCAGATTTATCTCCACAAACAGAACAAATTCCGCTTTCTAAAATTAAATTATTTGTTGCTGTTGTTGTACTCATTGGAGCCATTGAAATGGCCGAATGTTCCATTTAAATAATAATTTTTTGTTAAATTTTTAATGACGAAGATTGAAAGAAGGAAGATTAAAAAAATAATATTTTTTAAAATTCTATTAAATAATAATTTATTTTTTAAAGAAAAAAAGCTTAAAATTTAAAAGTACATTTATATATTTAATAAAGAAAAAAAAGAAAAAGTTTTTAAAATATATTTAATCTCTCATAGAATTGAGGAAGTTTTTATTTTTATAAAATTAATTGAAAATATTTTAAAAAAATATTTTTTTCAAAAATTAAATTAAAATTAATGATTAAAGAAAGCTTTTAAAAGATTAAATTAAATATTAAAAGAGGCAATAATATAGTTTCGATATTATTTATTTTTATATGTATTTAGGATCAAGTGTTAAATACAAATAAATAATATTTTTTTTTGTAATAAAATTAAAGAAAATTTTTTTAATTAAAATTATTTAAATTTTTAGATAATAAAATTAACAAAAATTAAAATTAGAGATTTAACCTTGGTGATTAATAAATAGAGAATTGTGATACTATATTTTGTTTTTAGGTTGATTTAAAAAAAAATTTTTTTTGTAAAAGAAAATATTTTTTTTAAAAAAAAACTTACAAATTTATTATTTTCTTTAAATTTAAAATAAAAACCGGAACAAAATTAGGAATGCTCTGTTGATTTTTTTATTGAAAAGTTGCGTCTAAAATAGAAATACACTACAACTATTTTAACAAAAAAAAATATTTTTTGTGTTTTATATTCTCTCTTTTCTTTTTTTTAAAAATAAATTTTAATCTTTTGGCCAATAAATATTTATTTATTTATTTAAAATACTCTAAAAAATCAATCAATTATTTTTTTATTTATTCGGAAAAAAAGGAAAATTTGGATTAAAAAAAAGAATTAAATTTAAATTAATTTAAAAAAAAATAAAAATATGTATATTTATTTATTTAAAATAAAATTATCTGATTAAAAATGAGGAGAGCAAAATGGAATATTTATTTTAAAAAAAGATAAAGAGAGAAGGGGCAACAATAAAAGAAAGGAAAGTTTGCAACAGATAAAAGAATGTAGAAGAAGGAAAAGGTTTTTTGTAAATAAATTTGGAATTATTTTAAATTTAAAATAAATGCCAATAATTTACATATTTGTAATTTTTAATTTAAATCTCAGTACATTGTGTTGGAATTTTCGAGGAATTTTATTAAAAGAAGAATGGTTGTATGTATTTATCAGTAAGTTTTTTTAATCTTAATTTTTATAATATAGGGAGTTAAATTAAAGGAGAAGAATTCAAAAAATTTTTAAAAAAATTTTTATGCCTTCCTAATTTTAAAATTTAAAATTAAATGTTGGAATCAAAAATGTTTATTTTGTTAATAATTAAAATATTCAAATATTTGGATTGTTAAAAATACATATATTTTTAAAATTAAATTAAAAAAAGTAAAAGCATTTAATTTACAAAAAAATTCGAAATTAGAGTGCAATAAATAAACAAATATATTTATCTACATACTCTACTTTATATCTGTATTTTAAAAAAAACCGTGTTTGGTAAAAGATAGGGGTGAAGAAAAAAATTTTTTTCTACGTAGGGGAGGAGAAAAGAAGATTGTCCTTTCTCTACTATTTTCTACTTAAATTCTCTCTCCTCTCTTCTCCTCCTCCTTCTAACTCGGCCATATTAGTTTGTAAAAAAGTAGAAAGTAAAAGTAGAAAGTAAAGTACTATATCTGTATTTTAAAAAAAACCGTGTTTGGTAAAAGATAGGGGTGAAGAAAAAAATTTTTTTTCTACGTAGGGGAGGAGAAAAGAAGATTGTCCTTTCTCTACTATTTTCTACTTAAATTCTCTCTCCTCTCTTCTCCTCCTCCTTCTAACTCGGCCATATTAGTTTGTAAAAAAGTAGAAAGTAAAAGTAGAAAGTAAAGTACTATATCTGTATTTTAAAAAAAACCGTGTTTGGTAAAAGATAGGGGTGAAGAAAAAAATTTTTTTTCTACGTAGGGGAGGAGAAAAGAAGATTGTCCTTTCTCTACTATTTTCTACTTAAATTCTCTCTCCTCTCTTCTCCTCCTCCTTCTAACTCGGCCATATTAGTTTGTAAAAAAGTAGAAAGTAAAAGTAGAAAGTAAAGTACTATATCTGTATTTTAAAAAAAACCGTGTTTGGTAAAAGATAGGGGTGAAGAAAAAAATTTTTTTTCTACGTAGGGGAGGAGAAAAGAAGATTGTCCTTTCTCTACTATTTTCTACTTAAATTCTCTCTCCTCTCTTCTCCTCCTCCTTCTAACTCGGCCATATTAGTTTGTAAAAAAGTAGAAAGTAAAAGTAGAAAGTAAAGTACTATATCTGTATTTTAAAAAAAACCGTGTTTGGTAAAAGATAGGGGTGAAGAAAAAAATTTTTTTTCTACGTAGGGGAGGAGAAAAGAAGATTGTCCTTTCTCTACTATTTTCTACTTAAATTCTCTCTCCTCTCTTCTCCTCCTCCTTCTAACTCGGCCATATTAGTTTGTAAAAAAGTAGAAAGTAAAGGGAGAAAACGTTGACGGAACGCCCGCCTTTCTCTTTTTCCCTACGAGCCACACTGTTCTCATTAAAGCCAGTCCTCCTCCTTCCCCCCCCCCCTCAATTGTAAAAAAATCCCCTAAACGCCGTCAGTCTCTCTCAAATATTCCGCTCTCTTTTTTTCAATTTCCCATTCCTTTTAGCAACGTCTGGTAGCGAACGGCGTTCAAAATAATTCGAACACCGTTCGAATGAAAAATGTTCGGACAAAAAATATGACTGGGTTTGAGAAAAAAGAAGGGAATTGTGACAGATGACAAAAAAATATATTTTTGAGAGAAAAAGAAAAAAGAGAAAATACTTAAAAATATTTTAATGGATAATAAAAAAAAGAAAAAAAAGATAAAATAGAAGGCAACATAAAAATAAAATAATTTTTAAAAAGACAGCGGCTGTCAGAAAATTTTGTTTAGAAAAAGGGAAAAAATGCAAAAATATAAATTAGTCAGTATGGGAATCTGGAAGTATTTTTAAAGGAAAATTAGGTAATATTTTGTTAGAAATTAAAAAATTAGTTTTTAGTTAATTGAAAGATGTTAATTCGAAAATGATTTCTTTCGCTCAATTTATATATGTAAATTTTTAATATTTTTAATTCAAATTTATTTTTTACAAAAAAAATAAATATTCTTTTTTTTCTACAATTAAATTCTTAAAAATTATTTTTTTATTTAAAATAAAATTTGGCACATGACTTTGAAATAAAAAAATTTTTCCAAAAAGTTTTCCCTTTTCCCCTCCTTTTTGCTTAACATTTTTGGCTTCTTTCTTGATATATTATTTTTTTCATTATTTGTGTCCTCTTCTTTTTTTGAATATATCTTTCTTTTATTTTTTTTTCTACTTCAATTATTTTTTAGTTCTGACAGTTTTTAGGGGGGACTGTTTCCTTTTTTGGAATTTTTCTCATTTTTTTCAATAAATATATGCGTGCTTTGTGTTTCAGTCCTTTCTTTCCCTTTTATTTTCTGTCCCCAATTTTGTGCCTATTTCTTTGCATTTTCAATTAATTGTATTGGGGATTTAGTAGAAAAAGAAAAAAATTCTTGGGGGATTTTATTTATTAAAAAAAGTTAATAAATAATTAAAATAAATAAATACAAGAATATATATATTTGTTTTAAAAAGAAAATTATTATATTTAGGTAAATAATTAGGTATATATTTATTTATATTAATATTTAGAGAAAATATATAGACAGACAAAACTGAAAGAATAAGGGGGGTAATTATATGTATGTGCGACATACAGAAAATTATAAATTTTTAAAAATAAAATAATATTCTAGATTTAAACTCCTTTTTTAAAAAAATTCTTTTTTTTCTACATACATATATGTACATATATCACCACCAAAAATTTAAGAATTTAAGGGTTGATAAAAAATATTTTTTGTTTTTTTTCTTCTTTTCCTAATCAATTAAAATATTTTATTTTTTTCGTCACAATTTTCTGTAAGCCAAAACGGAAATATTTTAATGAAAATTAGACGGAGAAAATGAGTGAAAAATTTAAAGGAAATATAAAAATAAATTTAAAAAAAATATTTTTTTTATAATTGGTTAAAACACAAAATAATTAAAAAAAAAGAATTCAAAAATAAAATTAAAAAAAATAATAATATTTTAATAATTTAAACGAGCGGTTTGGTGCCGCTTCGCGGCACCAAAACGCTCGTTCAAACCTTTTAATGTTATAACCAAAATCCACCCATTGACTATTGTTCTCAACATCACTCGACGGACTCTCACACACCCAAAAACGGACTCTTTCCACAAAGTATATAACCTTAATGCCAGTTATCACCCTTAGACCAATGTTCTCCGATATCTTTATTAACCACCATTCTCTTTAACATCATACAATATTCTCTGATAAGTTAATTAATTACCCTCAATCCCAGATAGACCCTTTATTCCAAAAATCCCAGATATCACCCTTTAGCCCCCTAATAAAAGGGATATTACTTCTGATATCCCTTTTTAATACCTCCAAATCACAGAATCACCTTTGATCCTTGATTTACATATCTGTTAGTTCACCAAATCTTATAGATTTTTATGGTTTTATCCGAAATGTCTCTTTGCCCCCAATATTTATTTTAATTTCTCAAACAAAAAGAAATTTTTAGAAACACAAAATCATATTTTTTCTGTTAATATTCCTATTCTAGCTGTCTTATATTTTCTTGTTGTTTTTGGTTAAAATGTTTTTATTTTTCTGCAAAGACCTTCCAAAATCCTCAAAATTTTTGCCTGCGGCGCTTTAAAGGGGAGAATTCTGGCTTCTTGGCCTTCCAAAATCCTCAAAATTTTCGCCAACAGCCCTCTTTAGTGCCATAAAATTGCTCAATTCAATTTTTGAAATTAAAAAATATAATCCATAAAGTGATTCTAATTTAATTTTTGTGTTTGATTATTTTTTTATAATTTTTGATATAAAATGCGGATTTTTTTGTTCAAATTTTTGGATTTTAACATATTTTAGAACGAAACACTGCTCTTAATTTCCCGATATCCCTCATTTTCTCCCTTTATCTTCACTATCTTTATATAGCTCATTAAAACTTCAAAACCTCCGATATCATTCTAATCACCCAAATTTCTTCATTCCTACGTCGATATCTTGTTAATCTCCCAAATAACTTCTTAATCACTTCTAATCCTACATTCCTTCATGGGGGCTTAACAGAGAAGGCACAACATCTTATCAACAATACAAACTTTTATTGGGAGAGTACTTATTTTAGAGGGCTGCCCATTTTTTCCTGCAGATATCCCTTTTAATCCCATATACCCCTTTATATCACTGAAGAATAATGCACATTAAACCACTCTTTAACCCTCAAGATCCCCTTTATAATTCCTTTCCATTAAAATCACTTTTGCTCAAGCATGCCAGAACTAAAACACGAAGACACAAAACATTTGGTCTCAACTGAACTCCAAGAAATATTAATTAATTTTATTTATCTAGGGAAATATTTGGAAAATTCAAAAATTTAAAATCCCACAGAATTTCCGAAAATTCCAAAAAAATTTTTGAAATGGTGTTTCTTTTATTTCGTTTCGTTCGCAATTTAACCAAAACGAAATAAATAGAAAAAATGACGCGAGAGCGAAATCAAAGTTTGCCTAATCCTGCTCTTGAATCCCTATATAATCTTACTAACTTATCTCAATTTCACGAAACCCATGCATCCCTATTTTCTCAAAATATCCCGGATTTGTTTTTTTATCCATCCTTCCTCGATATCCCACAAAATCCTGGAATTTTCTCTTGCAAACCTATAGATCCACTTTATCAATCTTAATTCACCAAACGCCCATATCATTTTTTATTCTGTTAGGCATTTTAATTCTCGGTATTTCTTAACGCAATATCCCCTTATTTCACAAAATCCCCTGATATCCTTCAAAATTACTATGCTTTTAATTATTCACACCTCTCAAAACAGACAATGATATTCATCCGGTTGACGTTCTCCTTCATCCATATCTTTTACCACTCTTCAAATCATAGATAGCTTTCTTATTCACCAAAAGCCCTTAATTTCCTTTTTGATTAATTGTTAATACTCTTAATCCCTTTAAATCCTTCTAACTAATCAAATCCCACTATATAAATTTTAATTCTATCAAATCCATGATATCCCTATTACCCTAAATCTCCTCATGCTAATTCCCTTATACCTTTATAAAGCTTATACGCCCAATCGTTAAAAGCAATTTTAATCTTCATAATCCTTATATCAGTCTTAATCTCCTATTTCCACTTTTCACTCTTAAAGATTATTTAATCCCTCAAAACCCCTCTATTCCAGCTTTAACCTCACCATGCCCCCGTTATCCTCTTAATCACCTCAAAATTCCGATATCAATTTTTAATCTCTCAAATATCCTAATTTACTCAAATACTAAAACCCAATTAAATTTCAAATTTGCGTTATCTATGTTAGCCACCTATTACTGACTTCATGACCCTTAATCACTGATATCCCTTAAAACCAACATCCTCTTATACACTCAAAATTTCCCATCCTTAGAGTTTTTTGAATTCCATAAATCCTCCAATATTTTTGTCCAACAAACCACCGATATCACTCTAAATCACTAAATTCCTCGTTATTCTTAATCCTCACTAATTATATTTTTTTCAAACATATTTAGTCTTTTCCTTTTTTATTCCGAAGTTTCCTGTTTACAAAATTTCTTCTGTTTAATTTTTTTGTTAACTGGTTAAACTTTTTCATTAGAAAAATTCGAATCCCACATGCTTTACTCGCTATTTTTATATTTTAGTCTAATCTGTTTAGTATCTTATTAGCTTTCTTCAAGTCTTTGGCTTTCACTAAATAACAGTTCCTTATTCACAAAATTCGAATTTTTTTTACTTTAGATTTATTCAAAACCGAAATTTCTTTGTTAAACCCTAAACACAACTTGTACAGTTTTTTGATTTTTTAAAGGATAAGAGTAAACTAAAAATCTTTCTCTACTTTTGTCAAAAATAAAAAAGAACAAAAAATAATTTTCTAATTTTAATTAACTTATTTACCTCGCGTCCTGTCTCTTTTTTTTCAACGTCTGTCTCTTTCAAAATTTTAAATGTAAAAGGGTACGAAAAAGTTTAAAAGGGGAAATGCCACTAAAACATATAATAAACAAATTCCACGGCGTTTCCTTCAATTTGTAAACATATTGCTTTTTTCAGCGCCGCAGGCGAAATTTTTTGAATTTTTTGACATTTTTGGTTTAAAAATGTGCCAGAAAATCAAAAAAATGTCTGCAAATGTCAAATCTATTTTCGACATTTTCATCTAAAAATTGAGTTTTCGAAACTAAAACGAAAAGAAAATATTTTTTTAAAGAAATACAAACGAAAGAAACGAAAAAAAATATTTTTAAATGAAGTAAGAAACGAAATTCATGTAAAAATCCGCTAAAATCTACGAAACACGAAACGAAACTAAAAAGATCTGTTTTATCGTTCCTGTTGAAGGATATCGAGGGAATTTACGTTTGAGACTAAGTGGCAGCATATAATTTACCGAAAATTAACTGCCTGCGATTAATCACAAAAATTGCCTGCCTGCGACTAAATGGCAGACGGCTGGTTCTTTTTTGTTTACATTTTGACTTTTCCAAAAAATAAAGAAAAACAACTTTTTCTCAAGTAAGTTTTTTGATGCGAGGTAAATAATGTAATTAAGATTAGAGAATTATATTTTGTACGTATTTTTTTGTCTAAATTAGAGAAAGATTTTTTGTTTACTCTTATCGTTAATTGTTCTCATATTTTCGTTTCAAAAAATATTGTCTTTTCTTCATTAAAAAAGTCCTTTTAAAAATCAATAATCAAGTCTCCCAAAACTCATTTAATATATAAAGGGATATTATATTTTGGATTAAAAATTTATGAATTAATAAATAATAATAAGAAGAAAATAATTAAATAAATTATTTTTCTTATAACGTGAAAATTTAAAAGAGTTGCCTAAATGTCTTTTTTAAGGTTGATTACCGATAAAATATAAATTATTGTTTTTAATATATTGATAAATTGAGGGGTTTTTTGGAGAGAAGAATTTTGTTTTGATATTTGATTTTTTTTATTTTCTCAATTTTTTAATATAAATTTTGAAATTTTGAAATTCAAGTATTTTTGAAAATTTTCTATAAATTTTCCCATTTAGAGACTCTTCCTAAAAATTTTCGATATTAATGAAGATGTTGAAGATGAAATGTATAATTTACTTAAATATGTTAACTACATACATAAAATCATAGAAAAATAAGAAATTTTTAATAAATAAAATAAAACAGTTTAGAAAACAATTAAATGAGATTACCTAAAAATCCTTTCAAGAAGTATTTAAATATTTAATTATTTTTAAATTATTTTTAAATTCTTTTTGGTATAATTTCGGAATACTAAACAGACTCCAATTGGGACAAATTATATGTCATTCAACTCAGCTCGGCGAGCTGAGTCGAATGACATCTAAATATCGATTGGGACGTAATTATGGGCCGAGATACAGGGCTCGAAATGGTCAAAAACCATAGGGGGGACCAAGCACTTTTTTGAGGTGAAAAATTCGAAAACGCAAATAATAGCTCATTCGAAAGAGCTCCTCGAGATGAGTCGAATGAGACCAAAATCAGCGTGATCCGACTTGATTCGACAAAGTTATGATCGTTTGTTTTAGCTCCTTACCTTTGGTCTACGTGCAGGTTTTTCTTGCTGGGGAGGAAGCCAGACATGCCGACCGCAGCTAAAATAGGCATAAGTTTATGTTACGAGCCCAGACCCAGCGCCCGTAGACTCCCCGCGAGGCGCGTGCCGCAAAACCCCGCGCGAAGCGCGGGGTTTTGCACAAGCGCCTCGCCGACACCCCATAGGTTTACGTTGTTTGTTTTTTCTGTCATAACTTCGATCAAACCTGACCAATCACGGCGATTTTGGTCTCATTCGACTCAGCTCGAGGAGCTCTTTCGAATGAGGTATAATTTGCATATTCGAATTTTTCACCTCAAAAAAGTGCTTGGTCCCCCCTATGGTTTTTGACCATTTCGAGCCCTGTATCTCGGCCCATAGTTATGTCCCAATCGATATTTTGATGTCATTCGACTCAGCTCGCCGAGCTGAGTCGAATGACATATAATATGTCCCAATCGGAGTCTGTTTAGTATTCCGAAATTATTCCTTCTTTTTCTATTTAAATTTAAAAATAAAAATAAATAAAATACTTTTAAAAAATAAATATTTATAGCTTTCTTTAGATATTTCTCCCCTCCTTTTAACGTAATAAAATAAAAGGACAAGTTTTTAAATTTTTCGAGAAATAAATAAAAATATTTTTTCAAAATGATTTAATGCCGACAATTAGATTTAAAAGAAATTTTTAAAAAAGAAAAATTAAAAACGGAAAATAAAAAAAGAATATACAAAAACTGATCGGAAAGAAAAAAATTGAAAAATTGTTTGATTGAAAAATAAAAGAAAGAAAAAAAAGTAGGGGGAGTTGAGGGATTTTTTTAATTGAATTTATAGGTATATTTAAATAATTAATAAAAAAAAAGTAAAAAAAATATACAAAAAATTATTAAATAAAAATAGAATTTCAGAAATATTTTAAAAATTTATTTACGTTTATTGAGTTTTTAATATAAACTTAGTAATTCGCCCAATAAATTTATTAAAAAAAATAATTTTTAAATAAAATATATTTTTGATTTAAATTTGAATAAATAAAATTAGAAAATTCTTTTTTTTCTGATTATTAGTTAAGTCTCTGTTTAACATAAAATAAATAAATAGAAAATAATCTTTTGGAGCTGAGAAAATTATACCTAAAATTAGAAGGTAAATTAAAAAGAGTGGGGAGGTGGGGGTATCAATTAGGCAGTTTACTACAGCAAGTAGTAAGCAAAATTATTTTGGATATTTGTGGATCTATTTATCCTACTCAAATATTCCCCCCTCCCCTCCCCTCCCCTCAAACTCCCTTTTTTTAATTTTTAAAAATAATTATTTTGTGTTGCGTAAATTTAATTTAAAAAAATTTTTGCAAATGAGAGTAGGTGGATTGAAGGGAATGGGAATTTACATACCTACCTATATATTATAATATATATTTTTTATATGTAAAAAGAACGGAAAACCTGATAAAACTTTTTTTCTTTTCAAAAATACGCTGATAAATAAATTTAAGAGAAAAAGAGAGAATTTTGACGTTTTAAAATATTTTATTTAAAAGTAATAAATAAATAAATGATGCCGACGAGAATTTTTTTTGAAATGATCAACACGTTAATTATGATAAGTTTTAAATTTTTTTCTTTATATTTTTGCAAGGCCATTTTCTTTTTATTTTTATTTAAATTTTTCTTATATTTATTTATTTATTTTAATATTACAACAGAAGAAAATAGGCAAAATCTGAAAAAAAAATAATTATTTTTTTAATATAAAATAAATATTTATTCGTCACAATCTTTTTGTATGACAATTTATTATAGAGAAATATTAAAAGATTTATTTTTTAAATATTTTTCTTTTAATTTTATTTTATTTTAGAGCTTCCACTTTAGAAGTTCATCGGTTTCCAATAAATATTTAAATATTTTTTAGAAATACATAAATACATAAAAAAGCCCCCCATTTAATATCCAGTTAATTTTTAAAAAAAACCCTTAGAAAAAACCTTTTACATTTGGCAATTTTTCATTTATAAAATTTAAATAGAGCAACTAAATAAAAAAAAAGAGAGAAGTATTTAGTTAAAAAATAAATGCCTAGAGCTTTTAAGAGAAAATATTTAAATATATTTGGCACAAACAAGAGTAGAAAATAATTAAAATAATTGTGTGAGGGAAAAAAGGAAGGAGAATTATTTATTTATTTTTATTAAAGAAATTTTAAATAAATTAGAAATTAATTTTATATTTTTATTTTTCCCCTCAAAAGTTGCAATTTTTGTGTTTTTCAGAAACTTTAATGGAAAAGGAAAATATTTGAAGTGGAGAATTTTGAAGACTAAAAAATATGAGAGAATGGCACAAATTGAAAGAGAAGTATTTATATATGTATATGGCACAGATGCCTTAGGACATAAGGGGTATATAGTTGAGAGAGAGAGGAAGAAGAGGGAAGGGGGAGGGGAAGGGGAAGACCGTCAAATAATTGTTGAATTGAAGTGAAAACGAATTTACTCAGTCATTCTCGAGGGAGGAAGAAAAAAGGGAGGGAGGAGGGGGAAAGCAGGCTGGCAAGTAATAATGGCCATAGGCTGCCAGCCGTGGCCATAGCCGCTAACAGGCTGACACGGACTGACACGGCCAACCAGCCAAAGCAATGGATGATGATGGAAAGGGTGTAGCGAGAGCAAGGAAAAATAAAAGGGGAAAAAGTGAGAACACAAAAACGGCAGCGGCAACAGCAAAGCACACACAAAAATAAATAAAAATACACACAAAAATAGTGCAAAATAAATACAGATAAAATAATAATAGATGATTGCCATTTTTAATAGAAAAAAAATTTTTTTTTGAAATTTTAACTAAAAATATATTTATTTTTAGAATTAAAGTGCAAAATTAATTTTAAGATTAAGACAATATAAAATAAAATTAATTGAAATAAATATATAGGTAGGTAGTGTACATACATATTTACAATTAAATATTTATTAATAATAAAATAAGCTCCAAAAACAGGTGAAAATAAATAAATAAATAAATATGTATATTCTCTATCATCTTACAAAAAAATTAATTAATTTAAATAAAATAAATTATTATTTTTTTAATTTCAATTTAAATATAATTCAAAATATTTTAATTAATTACTAATTAATTAATTAAAATAAATATATGTGTGTTCTGATACTTTTAAAGAAAAAAATAAAATAAAAAATAATTTTCAAATATATTCTTTTAAAATAATTAATCTTTTCTTTTGACGTTAAAATTATAAATATTATATAATTTATTTATTTATTTTATTTTAATTAATATTTTTTTCATTGAAATGTGATGACCAAAATTATTTTTTTTAATGTTAAAATATTTTTATTAAAATTTATGGAAGGACATTTCATCCAAAATATATCCGGTTTTTGAATAAAAAAATAAACGTGCATTTCCACAGAATAAAGAAATTTGCAGAAATTGTAAGAATATTTGGGGAAATAGAAGTAAAGTTAAAAGTTTTTTGTTTGTTTAATTTAAAGAATAAAATATATAAATTGTTTTAAAAAATTAAAATCTCTTTAAATTAAGTATTTTTCTCTAATTTTTTTAGAAATTCCGTCAATGTATAAATAAATATTATTTTTTTGAAAAAAAATTTATTTAATTTTATTTTCAATAATTAATTATTTTAAATATTTTTATATAAAATTATTTAAATCTTTCTATTTTATTTAATCCTATTTAAATTTTTTGGTAAAATTTGTAAAAGATTTTTTCAAATTTTTTATTAAATAAAGAGAAGTTTAAAAAACACTTTTTTCACTTAACAAAAAAGACTTTTAGCTAAACAAATTTTAATTTTCTGATTTAAAAAAATATTTAATAATTTGCAAATAAAACAATAAATGTACTTAATTAAAAAAGGATTTTTGAGAAATAAGAATAGTAAAATGAATTACAAATAATAATACCTAGTTTTAATTTTTTTCTGTCCTTTTAGATTTAAGGTGAAATTAACCCGAAAAAATTGACTTAATCCACAAATGGAAAACTCCTTCCAAAAATCTGCCTAAAAATCTGCCAAATCTTAAATTCTTCCTTTCGGATTTAAATGTGAAAGAATAAATTAACTACTTTCCCTAAACTTTTCTCCAGTCAAACCTATAGTCACTTAAAATCTACTAGTTCTCAATGATATAAAGAAAAAGAAACACTCAAATACATATATATTTATTTTCACAAGCCTATTTATATATATATATACAATATCACAAAATGTGTGAACACCAACAACAATAGAATAGGGGAAAAACAATATTATTATTATCAGACAAAAATATATATCACAATGTGCTGAGATGGGGGAACATTATTAGGTAGGGGGGAACATACATATTATCATTTAGGCAGAATCCACTCAATCCAACGATGTCACACAATCATTGGCTCCTCTTCTTCCTTTACTTCTTCTTGCCCTTCTTGGCGCCGCCACTCGCTGCAGTTTCCGCTGAGCCAGACTTCTTGCCAGACTTCGACTCGGCCCCAGGCGCTCCGCCACCCTTCGCTTTGCCCGCTCCTGCGTCCTTCACCTTGCGCAAATACTCAGCTGCACCCTGAAGGAATAAAAAATTATTTTTAATTTAATTAAGCAAAAAAAGAAGAAAACTCACAAAGCCGATCGCGCCGAAGAAAAGAACAAGGATGATGTACATCAGGAGCCCCATTGTTCGTTTGTAGTAGACGTGAAGTGTTGTTTTGTGAAGACGGTGTAGAAGAGACAGAAGCACTGACGACGCTTTTTTTGGGTTTTGTAGAATAACGATGTTAAGGATTTTGAATTTTAATGGCTTTTATAGTAATTTTGCATAAATCTGCTTAGATAGATATTTGGATATTGAATGAATGGACGTCTTGAATACAAAAAAAATAATTTTATCTACATAGAGCCCTCTAGGAACAATTATTTATTTCTTTTTTGATTTCAAGTAATTCAAAAATAATAAAAAAATTTCCTAAATTCGTTTCGAACAAGCTCAAGTAAAAAAATGATAATAAAAATTTTTTATTATTAAAAATTTAAAATAAATAAAAATTTATGTATTTTATCTTTCATATCATTTACTAGGTTTATTTGATATTCTGTCTGAAGTAAAAATAAAAAAATTTTAAGAAATGTTAAAGATTATATGTATTAATTATTTATCTATTTTTATGTATAAATTTATTAAATAATTTTAATTTTAAAAGAAAGAACAAATATTTTGTTGTTGTTGTTGTCCAATTTCATTAATTTCTTCTACTTCCCCCCTTCCTTTTTCTTCTCCGAATTTTTCTTCTTTTCTTTTTTGTGTTGGTGAACAACTTGCAACTAAACGAGCAGCTGCAGCCACCAATAAAAGTTTTAACTGGGCATTTATTTTTAAAGAATTGTCGGGATTAAATCGTAAAAGCATATATAAACAATTAGAATTATTTTGAGGTTGTTGGTGGTGGGAGGAGGAGGAGGAGGAACGATTTCGATGATTAGTAGATGATGATGAAGAAGAACGTCTTGAAGGAAGTTTTAATTCTTCTAAACGTGCAAGTAATTGTCCATCACTTTCAGAAAGGCAATGGAATACACGCAAATAATTGGTACTAAAATAGTATTATTTTAATTACTAATTATCATAAATAATTTTAAGAAATGAGATTTAAAAAAAAAAAGAAAATTCAAAAATGATTAAGGAGGGGGACAATTAAATAACACTGTTTGTAAAAAAAGTGTAAATAAAACTGAAATATAGGTAAAATTTACACCCCCTATTCAATAGCTAATCAACTTAAAAAATTTTAAGTACAATAGGAGTGTAAGCAAACTTGATATGTAATCTAGTATAAAAGCCCAGTCCCGCCAATATCCTCAACAACACTACAAAATCCAAAAATCTTCATCGTCCTTCCCAAACTCTTCACATTTCTACAAACAAAAAATGGGGTTCTTGATGTACATCATCTTTACTCTGATCTTCGGCGCTGCTGGATTTGTGAGTTTTTAGTTTTAATTTAATTTATTTGTCTTCGTTAATTAAAACAAATAATTTTTGTTTTTTCTTCTTCAGGCCTTAAGCGAGTTTCTGAACAAGAAGAAAGCTGCGGGTGGAGCAGGAGCTGGACCGGATGCGGGATCTGGACCGAGCCCAGCGAAGGGTGCTAAGGGAGGCAAAGGAGGCAAGTCCGCTAAGACGCGCTCAGCGGAGACCGCAGCAAGTCTCGGCAGCAAGAAGGGAAAGAAGAAATGAAGGAAAGAATTGTAAGAAGATTGTGATAATATATTGTATTGTAAGGATTTTTTGGATGAATAATTAATTGCCTCTCATTGTATATCTTTCCCCTATATTCTATTGTTGGTGTTTGTATATATTTTTTGTTTATTGTATTGTATGTATGGTGATAGTAAATCCGGTATAAATATAAATATATAGGTATTTTGTTTCAATTGTTTAACAAAAATCGGTACTTGAAATGTAATTGTTTTAAGAACAATCTCAAACAATATTTTGATATTGTTTTTGGTTTAGTTCGAAGACTTTGCCCTTTTTACCAACAATTTTTAAACAGAAATTAAAAAAACCTTTGTTGTTCTAATCCAAATCTAGCAATATTCATTCTCCTTCTATCTTGTACCAAAAAAGGTATTCCAACAACAAAATGTGCAAAACATTCCCCGTCAGGATTATCAACTCTCTGAACATATCCATTACCTCCACTACTACAATCTGTCCCTCCGCCACCCAAAAGTTTTGGTAAAGGAAATATTCTTCTTTCCAAATCACAAAGCGTCAAAACTGTTAACCCTAATGATTCAAATACCCAGGAATGTGAACGGAAACAACTAGCTCTTTGCCATAAATCGAGAAGGGGAAAACCTTCATTATCTGTTATCTTTAAAAGAAATTTAAAAAGAAAAAAATTTGAAATATTTATTTACTTGTAATTCGGTACCAGCCCTCCGAATTTGCAACAATTTAGCATCAACAATAAAACTTAGAGCATAACTAAAATAAAAATAAATTTATATTTTATTTATTTTTATTCTCAAAAATTAACTCTTTGCAAGGTTTTGGCTGTCTTCGATTATTATTAACAAAATTTCCATTAAATAATTCTCTATTACTATTAATTTTAGATAAATTTCTTTCATTATTATTTCCAATTAATTGATGTGCCCCAGCTAATCTTTTAATTCTTAATTGTATTTCTGTTGCTTCTCTTTCATTAATTATTTCTTCTTCATTTTCAATTACTAAATTATTTTGTTGATAAATATCTTCAAAATATTCCCCCCCTCCTTCCCCTTCTTTATTTTCTTGTAATAATAATTGGGATTGTCCAGATAATAAAATATTTTCTTCATTTTGAAGAGGGAAATTATTACAACTTTAAAAAAAGAAATAATTATCAAAAAATAATTTTTTCAAAATTTATTTCAAAAAATTTCCCCTCATTTTTTTCTAATTTTCTTAAATTCAAAATCAAAACTTTTTTTTTACCAAAATTAATACAAAAAACTCAAATATTTTTAAATTAAAAAAAATTATTTTACAAAGAAGTTTGTTGTTGTTGTTGTTCATTTTCTCCAATTTCCCCCTCCTCTCCCCCATTTTTTTCTTCTTTAAAATAATTATTTATTTTTGTTAATTCAATTAAATTTTGTTCATTTTCTTCTTTATTATTTATTTGGTTATTTTCACATTTTTGATAATTTTGATGATTAATAATTTCTGAAGAAGAAGAAATACCCCCTACTCCATTAGACATTGTTTTTGTTTGGAATTCTAAAAAATATTTTTTTAATTATTTAAATAGAATTAATAGATTAAAAAATTATTTTTTAAAATTAATTTAATTTTTAATTACTTTACAATTTTATAAACTTGTTTATTCTTCAATTTTTTTTTATTTTTAAGTAAGGGAAATATTAAAGTAAGTATATTTATTTTTATATAAATTTAAAAAGAAAATAAAATGAAACTGTGTTAATTTTCTTTCCCTTCTCATATTCTTACTTAAAATTGTCCAAATTTTAGAGGCTAGTTTAAAGTAAATAGCTTTTTCCCTTTCTTTTTTTATTCCAAAAAAATTTAAAAAATAATTTAATTTAAAATAATAATAATATTTTTAGGTATTTCTTTCAAACAAAAAATATTTTTCTTTTATTTAAAAATATCAAAACAAAGGAATTGAGTGAAAAATGAGCTTTTCTTCAAATAAAATACTAAAAGGAAATTAACCATAAAAAAAGAGAAATATATACGTGTTGGAAAATAATAAATAAATATATTTAAATATAATTTTTAGGAAGAAAGAGGAGAAGGGGAATTTCAAAAAAAAATGGGGGAAAAAAGAGCAGCCAAATTGTTATTTACCGGTTGCCTGAAGAAGAAGCAAGGGCTTTTTAAGGAGTTAAATAAATTGGTAAAAAATAAATTATACGAGAAAATGGTATGAAAGAAAGAAAAAGAGATGGAGAGGGGGGAGAGGTTATTTAATTTTGAAGAAAGTGAAAATAAATTTAACAAATATTTCTTGAAAAAAAAATTGTTGAAAGATATACATATTTTTTAAATAAAGAAATAATAAAATTGGGTTTAAAATAAATACTAAATAAATTTAGAAAACTGGTTTAAAAAAAAATTAAAAAACATTTTTTTGTTTTTATTTTAATAATATTTAATTGAAAATTATTATTCAACTAAAATAAATTAAGTATTTATCTAATATATTTAAATATAATTAATTTATTTTATTTACATAAATTTCTTTCTTTCTACCCAATAAATTATATTTATTTTTTATAGAAAATTCAACAAAAAATTAAAAATACCCTCAGAATTATTATTAGCCTTTTTATGCCGCGAATAAAGCCCAAAACCATTACTAGTAGATTGCCTATATTTACAATTATTTAAATTTAAGGAAGGTGAAGAATATAAATGTCCATCAATTCCAATTGAATTTTGTAAAGGAATAACTAAAAAAAGAAATTAAATACAGTAAGGTGCAAAAGTTTATGCCGCTGTACTTCGCATAGGAAAAAGTCAATATAACCCGAGAAAAGAAGGGACAAAAATAAAATCGATTATATATTTTTTTAAGAGTAGGCCTTGTATTTGTAAAATTTATAAAAAAATTTCTCATACCAATTTTAATCAAAAATTATAGGCGGAAAACCCTACCTACATCCAATTTTGGGGGAGCAAAAGTTTATGCCGCTTTTAGAAAAAAAATTTTTTTGGTTCTAAAACAAGTCGAAAAAAGTTCAAAAATTTTTTATAAACATCTAGATTGATAATGAATGGAAGAGCAAAAAGAATGAATTCTATAAATAATTTTTTCATCAAGATCAAAAATATCAAAAATCAACGTAAAACCGGGGTACAGTAATTGAAAAAATTTTTTCGGGCTCTTATTTATTTTTTTTAAATTTTTGTTTTAGGCTCATTTGAAAGCCCATAAAATTTACTACAAAATACGCTTGGTCTCCTATATTTGAAAAATTTACACTCCGAGGTAGGGTGACTTTAATTACCGAAGAATTAAAAACCTAGTCTAACAAAAGAACAGTTGGAAGCGGACAGAATGGAACGTGCAAGAAAACGTGATGAGTTTAAGAAGCAGAACCAAAACTCAAATGTTACTGAACGTTCAAAAAACAAGTAAATGGTCGTCCTCTGAAGGTTTTTAAAAATTTAAAAAATTTTGTTTTTACTTATTTTTATAATTGTTTATATTTCAATAGTAGGAGCTTAGTTAATAAGATCGAATCTCTTAGGTTACTTTTAGTTTCCAAAGCTTTTAAAATTATTCTCATTACCGAATCGTGGTTGAACTCAAAAATCGATAACTCCCAAATACTCCACGACACTCCATACACTATAGCAAGATGTGATAGAGGTTCTAAAGGTGGAGGAGTATGTATTTTAATCGATAACGTAATTCCGTTTTCCGTTGTCAAAACCCCCAAAATAAAAAACTCCGATTTAATAGCAATTGACATCTACTTCCCAACATACCAAAAATTTAGAATTATCTTAGTCTATAGACCTACAACAAATGAAAAACCTGAAGACTTTCTAGCTCTCCTTGACACCTTATGTAGTCTTATTGCCATCAACCATAGCTTCATAATAATTGGCGACTTTAACTTCCCTAATATCTTATGGAAATCCTTCAAGCCCCAATCATTCTCCGCCTCGCCCACTGAAAAATATTTTATTGAATTTATTAATAATTACAATCTCTTTCAAGAAATTTGTTCTCCAACTCGTAATAATAATTTTCTCGATCTCCTTTTCGCGCCCTCCTCTTTTCGTATTAGAAGCTGTGATGTAAAGCCCCCTTTCAAGAACTCAGATCACAACAGTATTGAATTCAATCTCAACCTTAAAAATATCACTAAAAGACCCATATTAATTCACGATTTCAATAACGCAGATTACAAGTCTATCAACGAATTTCTTATCGGATTGAACTGGAATTACATCTTTTCAGACTGTATTGATATTGATTCCCAATATAACAAATTTTTACAAATTATTCAACAAGTTATTACTCACTTCATACCTCTAAAAAGAACTAATAAAAACTCTATTAATATCCCGAAACATATTCAAAATATGATTAAATACAGAAACCTCCTATGGAAAAAAATTAGCAAACCTGAAATCCGCGACAAATATCTTACCCTCCAACATAAAATCGACAAAGAAACATCCAAATTTTTCCAAAATAGAGAAATGGCTAAATTCAAAGATCCTCGATCCAAATTTCAGTATATCGGAGCCTTCCTTAAATCTAAAAAAACTAAAATTCCTACATTTAAAGACAATGATCACATCACTCTCTCCGACTTTGATAAAGCTAATAAACTGGCTACCCAGTTCCATTCGGTCTTTAATTCTACAATATTTTCTAATGACGATATCAAAATTTCTCAAGCCCATTCCTTATCATTTATTGACATAATTCCTCAAGAAATCTTTAACATCATCTCCAATCTTGATAATGTCAACAATACATCACCAGACGGCATTCCAAATATCTTTTTAAAAAATACCGCTATCTCCTTGACTTCGCCGTTAACCATTATCTTTAGAAATTCAATCATGACTAAAAAAATTCCCCGGATATGGAAAAAGTCAATTATTTGTCCTATTCCAAAAAATACTAACCCTAAGGAACCAATCGACTTTAGACCGATCTCTCTCTTGTGCTCAACTTCAAAAATACTTGAACATTGCATAACCAAAGAAATAACAAATTTTCTCGAATCAAATAAACTTATTCCTCCTGATCAACACGGATTCCGTAAAAATCGCTCAGTCACAACTCAACTCCTAGAAACTTTTGATGATTACACACAAGCTATCGAACAAAAGAAATGCATTGATGTCATATTTTTTGATTTAGCTAAAGCTTTTGATACAGTCCCTCATGATCGTCTCCTCAAAAAACTCCAAGCTATGGGAATTACTGATACATTACTTGATTGGCTTAAAGATTATTTGAATAACCGCACTTTCTCTGTCCAAGTTGAATCAACCACGTCCGAAGAACATAATATTACCAGTGGTGTCCCACAGGGTAGCGTATTGGGCCCGATCCTATTCATTGCATACATATATGATTTAACTGAATTTTGTAAAACTCCACATGTCACACCGAAATTATTTGCTGATGATCTTAAGGCCTATTTCACTTTTGACTCTACACAACATAACCATTACTCTCCACTCCAAAACTTTATTAATAAATTTTCAAACTATTGTAAGATTAACGGCCTTAAAATCTCAATAAATAAATGCAAATCTCTACACATTGGCTCTAAAAATCCAAATCATGAATATTTCTTAGAAAACTCCCCAATCCCAATTACACAACAAAATGAAAGCATTCGCGACTTGGGTATCCACTTCACATCCGACTTAAAATGGGAGTCCCATATTAAGATAATCACTGCAAAAGCTACAAGAACCTATTTCACCATTATTAGATCACTCAAAACAAGAAACCCAAACTTTCTTATAACTCTCTTTAAAATTTACGTTCTTCCAATCCTTGAATTTGGATCGCCTGTTTTCAACCCTTACCTTCAGAAAGATATACTTTCCCTTGAAAATGTTCAAAAGAAATTCCTCCAAATTGTTTATTTACGTTCGGGCAAAACTAAAAACTCAAAACAATTACCTGACTATCATAAACTCCTCGAATTGTTTCAACTTGAACCTCTATCACATAGGCGTCTAAAATCTAGCCTTATTCTATTCCACAATATTATCTCCGGTAAAATCCAACTCTCACACCTTGACTATTATACAACCAAACCAACCACTACTAGAGGTAATCCACACAATATCTTTATCCCATTTTGTTCAACCACAATTCGAAAAAACTCATTTTTCGTTAAAATCCCAGATATCTATAGAAAACTCCCTACAGATATTCAAAAAGCATCCACCGATCTGTTTCCTAAGCTCTTAAACACACTCGATCTATCTCACATTTTAAACAAAAATTTATCACAGTAAAACTATTTATTCCCCAGACCATCAAAAACAAATGATTCACTTATATTTTTTAAATGATTGTTTTATCTGAATGTCACGTATTTTATTGCGTATAAATTGAATTGAATTGAATTATCTTCTTCTTCCCCAATAAATGTACTCATTTGTTTTTGTTGTAAATTATTAGTAAATAAATGAAGTTGTAATGGTTTAATATTTGATAATTGGGAAGAATAATTGGAGGCATTATTATTTTTTGTTATTCCATTCATTTTATTTTAAATTAAATTTTCTTTAAAATTAAACAAAATTTTATTTTAATTATTTTCCCTTAATTTTCTTCCTTAAAAATAAAAATACAATTATTAAAATAAGTTTTAACGAATTTTACATAAAAATTAAATTAATATAAAGTTGGGGGTATTGTTGAACTATGCCAATTATGAGTCTTTGATCACTTGTGCGAGAAGGATAAAACAAAATTCTTGAAATTTTAATTTGTCTATTCCGCTAAATATTTAATGACAAAGATAACAAATAAAATAATAAAATTTAAATATATTAAAATTTGTTGGAAATTTGGGTGCCGGAATTTTGGTCACTGGAATTTTGGTCACCATGATTTTTCGGAACTTTGGTCACCAATTTTTTTGGAATTTTGGTCACCAGCGGAATTTTGGTCACCAAGTTAAAAAACGGAATACTGGACACTGAAATTTTGGTCACCAGTAGGAATTTTGGTCACCAAACGGAAAAAAATAATCTTATCTAAAACTGATATCAAAGTGATAAAAAATGATTTTTCAACCCCCAGTTGATTAATTTCAATGTTTATCACTTTCCCGGCTGATCACTCTCTCGGTTCATCACTCTCGATCACTCTCCCGGATGATTAATTAACTGGCAGAGTGATCAACATTGAAATTGATCAACTGGGAGCTGAAAAACATTATTTTATCACATTTATATCAGTTTAGAATAAAATTAAAATTTTCAGTTTGGTGACCAAAATTCCTATTGGTGACCAAAATTTCAGTGCCCAATATTCCGATTTTAGAATTGGTGACCAAAATTCCGCTGGTGACCAAAATTCCAAAAAAATTGGTGACCAAAGTTCCGAAAAATCTTGGTGACCAAAATTCCGGTGACCAAAATTCCGTACACCGGAAATTTAGCATACACTGTGTCAGAAAATGATAGACGCACCTGTATTTCGTGTCATATCTCGTGCTATATTTAAGATATTTTCTAGAAATTTTTTTTAATTTATCGTTTCAAATGCTAGTATGAATATGATTAATAAAAATTTCCTAAATATTTTTTAAAAATTTTTACGTCAAATTTTTCGGAAAACGGGTGTCAGAAAATGATAGACGCACTTTAATATTTGATCAAAATTTATGTTTCTAACATTAGAAAAAATTTACAAAAATTTCAACAAACATATTTATCGATACTAAGAGGAAATAAAAAAGAATTAGACCCATATCTCATTTCAGTGTCGAGATCCAGATACCTCAAAAATCAACGTAAATCGGGGGTAAGGGTATTTAAAAAATATTTTCGACCCCTTATGGTTTGTTTTAAATTTCCATTTTGGGCTCATTCGAAAGCCCTTAAAATTTGCTATAAGATAAATTGTATCTTATATTTGAGAAAAAATTTGGTAGAAAGATGTAGGTCACTAATTTCCCGACGCTAATTTTATGGGGGCCTTTAGGTGATTTTCTCTGCCTTATGAATTTAAGTCTTAATAACTTTCTTGAATATTTTTTCTAGAAACTAAAACTTATGCTATCTTATAGCAAATTTTAAGGGCTTTCGAATGAGCCCAAAATGGAAATTTAAAACAAACCATAAGGGGTCGAAAATATTTTTTAAATAGCCTTAACCCCGATTTACGTTGATTTTCAGGTATCTGGATCTCGACACTGAAGTGAGATATGGGTCTAATTCTTTTTTATTTTTTCTTAGAATCGATAAATATGTTAGCTCAAATTTTTGTAGATTTTTCTTATTGTTAGAAACTCGAAATTCCAAAGTGCGTCTATCATTATCTGACACACGTTTTTCAAAAAATCGAACATAAAAATTTTTTAAAAATAGTTAGGAAATTTTTCTTGGTTATATTCATTTTAGCATTTAAAAAGATATATCAGGGAAAATTTATACAAAATTATCTGTTAGATAAAGCGAGATAATAGCAAAAATATGGGTGCGTCTATCTTTTTCTGACACAGTGTAGTAAAATTTTAATTTTTTCTCTTTCCTTCACAATACCTACATAAACCCTTTGGTGGTAAATGTCCCGCTTGCTGTCCACATGTCCGCAAAAGGCATTCTGTAAAAATCGTTTTTTTGCATTCAACTCCTTACTTTCTCTCCCATATTTTCCCCCTAGGTCAGTAAATGTTTGGTTGATGGATTCAGCTTAAGAGCAAAAGTATTTCAGAATGCCTTTTGCGGACATGTGGACAGCGAGCTGGATATTTTAGCATTTTACCCACTCTGGTTAGTTTTATTTATTTTTTTTAATTAAAAAAATTAAAGAAATATTTGGGGAATTTTCGTATACGTACACATACAATAAGATTAAAAATAAATATTAAAATAAAAACAAAAAATATGTAGAGAAATATATTCAAAAAAAATTATTTTATTATAATAAATAAATTAAGCTAAAAATAAATAAAAATAAACACCTGTTTCTAAAAATAAAAATAAATCAATCTCTCAACATTATTCGGATCAACTAAAATTATATTATTTTAAAATATATTATATGTATGTAGATGGTTTTTGCTTAGCAAAATTTGGTAGTTAAATAAATATATTTTTTTATAATTTTAAATTTTTTTATATAAAAGTAACCATTCAACTGAAAGAATATATATGTACAAGCAATTTATTATTTTAAAATTTATATTTATAAACAAAAAAAAATACAAAGGTAATAAATTGCCAATTTTTATTGGGTAAAATATAAAAAGTTTTTTTAAAAGCCTAAAGAATTTTTTTTGTTTAAATTAAAAATCATTTCGCCCAAAAATTCTTGAATTAAGTTTCTCAGATGCTTTTTTTACTCAGATAATTACCCTGGGTAATTATTGTTATTTAATAATTTTTAATTGAGGCGGGATAATTATTTGAGTAAATACGGTAATGTCAGGAAGACTGAAAGATTTAGTTTAAAAATGATAACAGAAAAATAAAATAAAAATATAATATCCAATGTATTTTTCTAAATCTGTTAAATTACCTAAATATATATTTTTAAAATTCTGAAACGAGGAAATAAAATTTAAAAATGTCTAGGAAATTTTTTGCTAAAATTACCAAGTTTAATAAACAAAGAAAGATTTATTTTTAAAAAAATTTTAGATAAAAATATTTATTTACGTAAATATTTCCGCTTATAATGCTCAAAAAGTGCCACCAACATTCCTCTATATAGAGGGGCATTTATATGTTTGGCCAATACTTCTTTTAAATAAAAAGGCTGGAACAAATAAGAATTGAAAAGGGGAATAAATATATATGGATTTTTGCCATGCGGCTGCCCATGAATGAATGAATAACGACAAAATTGGGGAAGGGAGGGCTGGCGGACAATTAGAGTGGGCAATAGTTACGAGAAAAATTTTATTTTTATGGTAGCCATTTGTGTCAGCCAAATAATGAGTAAATTTTTGAAATTAAATTTTAAGAAAAACTGGTTTTGTTTATGCATTATAGTTAGTAGATTGTAGGTAAACCAAAAAATATTTAAAAAAATCAGAGGTCTTTTTTGCGAGTGTGCTCAAAAAGTGCCACCAAATTTATAGAGAAAATTATAGTGAATGAAAGAAAAATTTCGGTAGATTAATAAAGCAGAATTTCTCTACTTGTTAAGTCAGGATTATTGCGAGCCCCGGAGAAATTCGAGTTCATTAAGCGGTCCGTCGTTAATTAGTCTTTTACTCCCGGAACCTATTTCTGGAGCATAACTTTTAGATTTTTAAAGTTTTTTATTAATTTAATATTAAAGAGTCAAGATAATGTTGGCGAAAGTCAATATAATAATTTTAATTATTTGTAAGCGATGCAAATTCCTTTTAAAAGAAAAAGCTAAAGAAATGGGATAAGGGAACGATAAAATGACAGAAACAAGTAAACGAGTGAACCTTTCAAGTAAAGGCTCTTGGGAGAATGAATTTGAGAGGGGGACAATGAATTGAAAATAAAGAAATGAGGTGCAAAGACAGGAAATTTAATTTACTCCATCACATGTATAAGGCGCAGGGTTTTTTTACTTTACGCAGGGCTTTAGATGTTGATTAGAAATGATGTCTCAAAATGAATAAAAAATATAAAAAAGGAGATTTTGAAGAGAAGTATACAATAACAACAAAAAATAAAAAAAATTTACTAATAAAACGGCTAATTTTAATGATATAAGTTTGTAAGTTATAAATATAAAATGTGTTATATTTTATGATTCTTGTACTCTTGAAGTTAAAATAGATGCACCCAAGAATGAAATCTAAAAAAAAGAGAATTATTAATAAAAAGAATTTTAATTATTCACCATAATTGGAATCGAAGCAATAATTTGCCAAATATTCGGAGGTTGATTTCGAAAAAAAGAATCGGCTAGCATTGAAAGTGGAACACCTAAAGAGCCTGAAAGTGAAGAAGTTAATGATCCAGTTAGAAGTGTTGCATAAAGCCAAATTGAATCGGCAAAAAGTGTGCCAAGGAATGCATTGGCAATGAGTATAAACATTTGTTTAAATGTTGGAAGTGGTAATTGGGATTCAAATCCAGAAATGTGTGCAATATATATTAATGGAGTACAAGCAAATAATGCGAAGAGACCAACAGTTCCTAAAAATATATTTGAGGAAATTGTTGCCATGATAAAGGTTAAGAGGTATCATAAAAAATAACGGATAATTAGGAACTCTTTAAAAGATAACCAAAGATTTATCAAAAATTAATTTAGCCAAAAAACAACTTACCAAGAAGTAAAGGCATATTAACATTTTTGCCTTTGAAGCTTAGACGAGCAAGTGCAAATAAATATAGAGCATTAGAAAAAGCCGAAAAAAGAGATAATGAAGTTGTAAATAAATTTCCAGAAAAACGAGAAACAATACAAACCCCCAACATATTCAATAAAACCATTAAAAGCTAAAAGAAATAATTTTTAAATTATTTTTAAATTTAAAAAACTTACTTTTAACCAACTAAAAGAATCCACAGAATATTTGCCAAAAAATGCTCCAAATATTAAAACAAAAAGTGGAGACGATGCGGAAATTAAATTAACTGTTGAAACTGAGGAATAAGCAAGAGCTGTCTGATAACTGACAAATGAAAGTAACCACTAGAAGAAAAAATTAAAAAAAATTATTTAAATAAAGTAAATATTGAATCTAAATGGAATTATTTTAATAAATTATTTTTAAAGTAAATTTAACAAAACTAAAAAATTTTTTGCAAAATAATGAAGATAACTAAAGAAGTTAATTACAATAAGTAATACCCTCATTTATTTGAGTCCCAGTCTAATTTATGTTTACCTGCCTTTTACTTAAAATGCGAGGAGATTAAATGATTGATAATAAAAGAAAAATTAATCTGAGACTCAAATAGGGAAGGGTCGGGATATTAATAAAATACCCTACAGTTTAACAAAAAATAAATATTTTCTAAATTAAAAACCCACCAAAGGTGCAAAATAAACACAATAAACAAACATATCAGAATTCGGATCCAATTTAAAAGAACCACAAAATTTTGAACAAAAATCACTTTTTGCAACTTCTTTAGCTTTATTATAAGGTAATCTTGCCAATGTTGCAGCTTCACTTAAACTTTCTGGCCAACGACGAACTTCTCTTAATTTATTAAAACGAACTTTCCTTCTCCTTTTTATTCTTTTTGGTTTAGTTAAAGGGGTAGAAGATACAAAATTTTCTTCAATTTCACATTTCTTTTGTTGTTCAGGTGTTGTTTGACTGTTTTGACTTTCCGGTGCTGATAAATCCCCAGTATTTGATTCTACATCTGTGATAGAAATTGGCTCAAATTCAGCTTCTGTCTGTTAAAAGAGAAAAGAAATTTAAAATATATATTTTTATAAATTTTAAATTAACCAAAGTATTGCAATCTAAAATGTCCTCTTCTTCTTCTTCTGTTTCTTCTGCGCTGCTATTACTATTTTCATTTTCAGTTAACCGAGAATAGAAGGCCTACAAAAAAATTTTCCAAATAAAAAAATTTAAAAAATTATAGTATTGATCGCGGATATACTTAAATATGTAAACTAACCTTAGATTTAATATACTACATGGATTTAAAAAAATAAATATTTAAATTAAATACTTTTCCGTTTTTTGAAGTAGTTGTTGTAGTTTCTGATTCTGAAGATTTCTTTCTGCAATCACAACAATAAAAAGTCAAAAAAAGAGATAACATGCATGACTTAGCGTAGGTGAAGAAAAGTGGCCTTTTAAAATCGAGATCAATGAATAAATACTTAAAAATAAAAATTCTTTGAATAAAAGAAATTTAAAAAACCCTCGTTATTTCTGAAGCTGCAACCCATACCTACAAAATATAAATTTAATTTTTATAGGAAAGGTAAGATAAAATTAACAGCTAGAACAGGAACTAAAATATTGGAGTAGATCAAGGTTAAAAATAAAAATTTTTGTCTGGAAAACTTCAATTAAAGGTAAACAAAATAAAATATGAAAAACTCACAATGTTTACAAAGACTAGAAGTGCCACGCCATAGAAACGTGAAAAAAACGAATTTTCTGTAGACGTGGTCATATTGATTATGCTTAAGTTGTTTCTGTTATTATGCTATACACAAAATAAATTTACAATTATTCTAAAAGCTAATAAGAAAATAATTAAAATAATTTAATAATAAATAAAAGTAAAAATAAATAAAGAATTAAACTCTTTAATTTTTCAGAATTTGTTGAAATATTTATCAAAAAAATTTATCAGAATCTGAACATACAATATATAATTAATTAACAATTTTTATAGAATAAAAGTAAAAAATTAAGACAATTTATTTAATAATTATATAAATTATTTACAAAAATTAAATTAAACAAATTCACAAAATTTCAATATTTAATTAAATTATTTAAGTGTCATATCAAATAAATTTACGTAGAAAAGGAAGTATTTATTAACTATGAGCATATTATTATTAACTTTATTTTTTTATTAGCTGTAGAAAAATAAGCACACAACTTGGAAAATATGAGAGGGGAAAGATGATAAAAACTTGGAAATTGAAAGAAAATAAAGTTGACTGCGTGGAATTATTTGGATAATAAAAATATATTGATTAGATCATTGTTGAATAAAGGTCAAAAATACCAGAAAAAAAAATAAAATTTAATTTTTTTGTAAATGCCGTACTAAAATTAAATTTAAAAGTCGAAGTGAATTATTTATTGGGATACGCCCATTCTGTCGCAGACTAATAACTGTTATGTCCTTTATCAGAATGGTACCACTGATACCCCAAAAGTTTACGACAGAGTAACCTAGCGACAGAGTGGATCGTGCCCGTTTAAACTACAAAAAATTTAAATCTTTTGACCCACATTTCCCATCCTCATCCACTGGATCGAAAAAAACATTTGTTGTTGGATAAGGAATTGGTGGAGAATCAATTCCAACAATTGCATTTTGTTCGTCAAGTGAAGGATTTCGAAATCTTGAAATAAATTTCCTTATTAATTCCTCTATCCTTTGCAGAGAAGAACGTGAATTCTCAAAACTAGAATATTTTTATTATTTGCGGAGAATATTTTTTAAATAAAATTACTTGTCGGGAGTGAGTAAACCTTTCTGTAAGATTCTTTGGCAAATTGTTTTGTTTAATGATTCATCAAACAATGGAATGCCGAAAACACAGTCGAAGAGAACATAATCATTGAATGACTCCCCACGACATAAATGTGTTCGACTGGTTGAAACTTTCCTTAAGAGGAAGAATTAGTTTTCTTGTAAGAAACACTTACTTTGGATCCTTTGTAATTGTATTGCTTAATTGAAAAACACTTAGAGAATAAGCAGAATTTGGTGAGGGTATTAACGTCGATCGATTAGAAGTTGAAAATTCATCATTCTCTGAAGGACGTTGTTGTTCACTTTCATTTTTATCATTATTCTCCTCATCTTCAAATAAAGGTTGAGAAGGATCATCAGTGTTGTGCAATTTTAAAAGTACAATATAACCACAAAGATAATCTAAACCAAGAGAAGATTGCAACCTTTGAACGACTGGATGTCTTGTAAATGGTTGTAGACATTCTATATTCTGAAAATAAAAATATTAATTTAAAATTAAGAGAAAACAAGGAGGAGAGGTTTTATAAAAGAATTTTTAAAAAACAGAAGAATTAAATACTTAAATTCAATTATTTGTTAGTAGATTATTTTAATTCAATAGTTAAAAATGAAAATAGAGAGAATGTTCGCAAAAAAGAGCGCAAAGAGAAATAAAATAAGCAATAAAAATAACTATTGAATACAATAAAAAGACACACCGATTGTTGTTGTTCACGTTCTGTTGTTTGAATAGATCCATTAATAATTCTCTCTTCACTTTCTATATCAAAAGGAAATGGAACATTTACAATTTCAGCATCAGATACAAGTTCACTATAAGCCTAAAAATTAAATAATTAGGAAAATACATATTTAATAAAAATAATTTACTTGTAAAAATACTGGTGCAGAAAGCAAAGCATCTCCTACAGGAATAAGCGAACTTTCAATAGGTAAAATAACAGGTTCATGATTGTTTCCTTGAGTAAGCATTAAACGACGACTTTTCCAGAAGAGTTTAGGAAGTTTGGTGATATAAGTGCCCATAGGTAGGAAAATTGAAGGAGGACCACATGTTGCTAATTCGTATATAAAAAGTCGAAACCAAGGAGATGTTAACTAAAAAATTATTTTGAATAGAAAATCTCAAAAAAATACTTCTACTGACGCGGCAGTTCCCAAATGAGGAAGTTTAGCCGAATGTAAACAACACGCTTCAGCACCTATAACAAAGAAAGAAAAGTATAAAATAAAATTTAAAAAATATTTATTTTTTAGATAAACTATATTTTATAAATTAACCGATTGGAGCCATCGAAACGAGCAGTCTAAAATTATAAAATTATTTTAAAAAATAAATTAAATATTTACTTGTAAGATTTTTCAATTACTCTAAGACGTGCTGCACTTTCTAAATTTAAAAGACTTTCTCCTCGTATAAGGTCCATTTCAGAAACGCTTCTTAATGATTGAATTGTATATAGCAAAGTTCTAGCATGCTCCGAATAACGCTGTGCTTCACCTTCAGCAAAGAAATTAACCTAAGATTATTTTATAAGCTAAAAAGTTTGTCAACAAATGAATACATTTTGAAGTTCGTCAATAAAACTATCCATAGCATCTTCACTTAGCTTACCAACCTCAAACAACGTGATTGCATGATTTTTTAGAGTCTACAAAGGAAATATTTAAAAATAAATTTCAATAAAATTACAGCAGATAAATTTCCCATCATCAAAAAGGCAGTGAGAGAAGAATCAAAAATAAATGCTATTCTTTTTGCAACAGCTGAAGTTGATGAACTTGCCGAACTTTCCACAACTAATGGAGAATTTTGTGAAACAGCCTTAAAAAATAGAAAAGCAAAATTTAAATGAGGTACAATTTTTCAATACATTTTCCACAGCCGAAACAATATCATCATCGTCAAAATCGCCTGCAGAGTTTATATTCATTAAAGAAAAGTTGAGATCATTTAATTCTGCACTAATAGTAGGTTCCGGCGTGGTTGGCGATGAAAGACTAGATGAATATTATTTAAGTATTTAATTAAATATTTACCAAGAACCAGAAGACGAATTCTCCACTCCCCACGAGTTGTGAAGAACAAAATTTTCAATTCCTGTAACTCTTTTACGCGCAAACCCAAGTCGGCAAAAAAGAGAAACAGCGTTGCAAATTAAGTCAATATCAATGCCGATTGTTTCGGAGAGCTGAAAATTAAACGTTAAAATTGGAAAAAAAATAATTTTAAAGCCCAAAAGAAAATTTATGCCTAATAGAGAAAAAACTTATTAGTCTGATATTAGAATATTTTCTCCTTTGAATGTCAAAAATTGTTAAACAAAATTGCATTAGAATTGAAACTGGGAGCACTAGCCTTGATTAATTACTAGAGGTATAAATTTAATAAATTTGAAAACAGAACTAGACTATGTTAAAAAATCTCAAATTAAAACCTCTCGTATAGAAGTCTGTCCATCAATAGCAACAAAAATTTTATAAAGCAATGTCTCGAAAAAATCTCCCTGAGTTCGATTCATAACAAATCCGTCAAGAGTAGGAACTAATAAATAAATAAAAAATGAAAAGGTTTCTATATTTACCATAAACACAATCCTCAGGATGTATTGGAACTTCCAAATAAGCAAGGCCACGGCTAAGCAATCTCTGAATAACATTCTTATCCAAAAGACCACAAAGTTGAGTACCTTCATCCATAAGTTTGTCAATTACTTCTTTCTCCACAGAACTTAATAACTAAAATTTAATGAAAACATGACCTTTTTTAATTTAATAAAAAATTACCCGAACATCATTTTCCAAAACACAACCATAATTGAATAGAAACCATGGCTCTACAGTAAAATTATTGACTGGCTTTTGGGGCAGCATCTCTCTAACAGATTTTGAACGGCGAAAAAGACGACGGTTTGCACGGCTCTGGTTCACAAGGTCAATATATTGATTGCGGCCAATTCCAAGGATTTGCATCGCATCAACAGCAGTAAAATTTGGAATAGAATCATAACTCTTTTCTGCTTGCATTACATCAACAAGCATTTCCCTAAAAATAATACCAATATTTGCTTATTTTATTATATTTAAAAGAAAAAAACTAAATTTGCAAAAATGTTTTTGTGTATTTCGTATTCAAAAAAAGTAAAAAAAAACTCGCCGGAAACCCTCAAAGAGAAATTTTAAAAACAAACGTATAATAAGTGAAAGGAGTTAAACGCAATTCTCGAACCAAAATATCAGAAAGATGGTAAGGGTAAAGCATCATTTTTGTTCTGCTATGATGAAGTAAACAATCATAATATTCCTCTTGAACTCTTTTAACAAATCTAACTAAAAAATAATTAAATTTAAAATAATTCAAAAAAACATTTACCAATATTTTCCTTGTACCTAAGTTGATTTTTAATTGAATAATCTAATATTCTTTTGTCATATTCTCGTTGAGAACCACCCAAAACTGTACGTAAATCATCTGACAATTTTGTCCAAGTAATATTTTTCCTTATCGCTTCATCAACTGCTTCAGATGACATTACTCACTAAATTGACAGAAAAATAAATTAAACTTCATTGAAATAAAAAAATAAAATAGGCATTTAGTCTCACGCAAGAAATATTTCTTTTGATATTAAAAGCAAAGCTGAATTTTATTTGGTATATTTATCACTTCGCTCGCAACGTAAGAAACTATCATTTTGCCTTCCATGAATGAAAAAATGCGCGCAAAATTTCTTTTTTTGCACAAAATGTTATTAAAAGTCAAAGTTTTGCCAATACAACAAACACTCTTTCCCCATTTTTATTTTAATTCATTTTCGAAGTGACGGGAGAGTATTGAATTTTTATTTTTTAAATTTTAAAAAAGTATAAGAATAACTGATAATATATTTTTTTTAATTAAAAAGTAAATTTTTTCATTTTATTCAAACAATAGAATATATTAAAAAACAAAAAAAAATTGAATAAAAAATAAATAAAAATGGAATTGTTTTGGAATTTCTTCAATTTTTTAGTTAATTTTAATAAGTGATACAAGGACGGTGAACATTTGGATGTGATTTAATTAGTCCAATACCTGCCATAAAACGGCTATAGGCACTTTCTAGATTCTAAAAAAAAGGTTTTAAAAAATACTTACACTATTAAAAAAAACTTTTCCAGTTTTTGGATCCAAATCAACAATACGTACCTTAAAAAAGAAAAATAATTTAAAAAAAATAAACAAGGTTTTATACAGAAAAAGCAAAATAAAGTGATTGACCATCCAAAGCACGAACACTTACAAATCCAGAACCTCCCCCAACAGTCCTAACTATATTTTCTCCAATTTTGTCAACAAGTCGAATACTTATCTTTAATTTTAAACAAAATTTAATTTAAAATTTTTTAAATTAAAAAACCATTAAGGAACAATCTTTCATTGTTGCGGCAAGTAAATATCTTTCAACAAGAGAACGTGCATCCCCTTTGGATAAAAAGTCAAGTCCCCGTCCCAAAAGATTTGATTTTTTCTGCAATTCTCTCTTAAAATAAAAAAAATATTCATCAAAAAATTAAAGCAAAACCTGTATATTTTGTGGAAGACTTTTATAAAGCTCATAAGCACGAACAATTCCAATATTATCAATTTTTTGGGCTTTGAGCAAATCAAAAAGAACGCTGCTTTGTTGAAGAGAAAATGGTTTTTGGTCATCGTTGACACCGGCAAGAATGCAAGTTACCTTTGAAATTAAATTAGAAATAAATTTGAATTGAAAGGATAATTAGATGGAGTAAAAGGAAGAAAAAACAAACAATTTTAATAAATATTTGAATATTTGCATTTGGAGTGCCAGGAAAGATTAAGTCAGAAAGAATTTTTTCATCAAAATTTTTTGGAGAATCAGAATCATCATGAACAGAATTTCCATCAACAAAAATTCGAAGATTTCTATGAGGGTCATAAATTAAGGAGGCAAGAGCATATTCCATTTTTGAGCGTTCACCGCTGTAAAGTGCCAAAGGGCAGTAATCATACATTGAAGAAAAACTTGCAGACTTCCATTTTTCTATCTGAAATTTTATCTTTAGAAATTTTCAGTAATTTTAGGTGTAGGAATTATTGAAGAAAAAACTCCCAATCAGAGATGTTTTAAATCAAAATTAATTTATTTAAAAAAATTCTAAAAATTTTTATAAAATTTCTTTTAAAAAACCTGCAGTATGCAATTGTTACAAAAAGGTACATCAACGCCTGGATGACTTTGAAAAAACCCTAAAAAACATTCAAAAATTATTTAAAATAAACAAAATCTAGCCTTGTTTAGGTTTAATTTCTAAAGTAATTGTTGGCCCAAAACAATGAGCATTTAGACGGGGTATTCGAGTAGCATCAGGCATTTCAAGGGCAAGAATTGTTCTCGAACAATTATGGGATTTGTGAGGAAAACGAGAAGAATTAGTTGGATAAGTAGAAATTAATTCATTAAAATCTTCAATTTTGTGATTTTTTGGAAGAGAAGGAATCTTTTTTTAAAAAAATATTTTCTAAATAAAAATTAAAAAAACCTTAGCTAAATGATGTAATTCATCAGAATTAATATTTACAAGTTTGGCTTTAATTAAATAATTATCATCAAGAAAAGGAGAAATAAATTGTTCCATATATTTATTTATTATGTCACATCTTTAATTAAAAATTGATAAAAAAATATTTAAAGAAAAAAAACTTTGGCTTAAAATTAATTAAATTTGAACGTCTCTTCTTTGCTAATCTCCAAACAATTCTAAATTTTAGAGGATTTAAAAAAATTTATTTTCCAAACCTTAAATTATTTGTCCTCCCTTTTGCACTAATAACAATATTACAACGCCCTTCACCTCTTTAAATTTAAATTAAAAAAATTTTTCTAAAAAATAAACCTAAAACAGAAAGCCCTGTATTCGTGTAAATCAACAATTTCAAGCATATAAAAGAAATAATTAAATAAAAATAACAAAAGTTAATTATTGTTTAATAAGTGAAAAGTAGAAAAATAATTATCTCATAATTAAAAAATATTTTCGCTAAAATTCATAAATTAAAAATAAAAGGATTAGGATTTAACAATTTTGGTAGAATTCAAAAAGGTTAGAGAAATTTTAATAAAACTGGCGATTCAAGACGAATTGACATAAGACTAATTGGGTATTTTAGTTTCTTTGGGACAAATCGAGAGTTTTGTTCATTGGGACGAGTTGGGGTGGGGCGAATTGAAATCGCGCTCGCCTTTGTTCCAATGAGTGATATCGAGGGAGGGGTGATTGAGAGGGTATTTGTGGAATTAACAGATACCGAGAGAGATGGGAGAGTTTTTAGAGATAATGAGGGATTAAGGAGGAGTGATTAAGAGTGATTAAGAGGCTTTGGAGAGATACCGGGGAGATTTGGGGGATTTTAAAGGAGAGAGTCGGTCTTTCGAATAATTTTGGTTGAGGATTTAATATAGATAAGAATGAAATTTAAAAAAAAAGAGAAGATTAAGAGTCGAGAGACTAACAAAATAAAAAAATCTTACGAATATTAACTAAATTAGAAATAACTGAATTTATTTTTCAAGAAAAATAATCATTTTATCAGTCATAAGGGAGAATGACAACTTGGAATAACAAATACTACATCATTATAAAGGCCTTTAAAATACATAAAATTAAAAAAATTTCTATTAATTTTAATTTTTTTATAAAAAAACAAAAATAGAATTAAATAAAATTCTCAATAAAATTTTCTTCCTCTTTCGTATTTTAATGGGAAAAATAAGAGAAATGAATCATGGATAAAAAAGATTGATTAGAAAATAAAACTAATGAATCATTTAGTTATACATATATTTCACATTAAACTGATAGTGTATTGAGAGAGAGAAAAGAAATAAAATAAAATAAAAAACTTTTTCTTATTAATCAGTGATAGTAATATTAGTTTCGCTGAATTTATCCTTAAATAGAAAATAATTAAAATAAACTTGAGGATAATTAATTGAGGATAATTAATCTTTATTTGTTTATAAAATTTTGTAAAATTTTTGTGGAAATTTTTTTAATAAATTTTAAAATTTTTAATTTTTAATTAAGATTTTTTTAAATCTTTTTTTAAAAAACTTAAAGGAAAAAATTTTGACAAAAGCTTTGATTTGTCAGATCCCTATATCCATATTTTTTTAAATTTCCATTTACTCCTAATTATTGTATAAATATTTCTTTTTTAATTTATTCAAACATTAATAGCAACTTTTTTTATGTTCTAATAAATTTCTAAAATAAAACATTTATTCAAAATGACATTTATTTGTTAATTTGGATTTTTTTGGATTAAGAGAAAAAGAAAATAATTACTAACTAAAATTTATTCAAAAAATCTTTTTTTCTTTAAAAATTAAAATATTTAAAATAAAAAAAAATTGAAAATAAAATTGTTTTTTCTTTTTTAATTTTATTATTTGGAATTATTGGTGGATTAATAGCTGTAATATGTTCTGTTTATTTTTGGAAATTTTGTTGTCGTAAAATTGAAAAAGAATCTAAAAATATTAGACAAAATAATGGGAATAATGGATTTAGGTAGGTTAATTAAATTTGTATTTTTAAAAATTAATTAAAAAAATTATGTAGAAATCGTTATTATCACCAAATTCCTTCAATAATTGGAATTGCTGAACTTGAACAAATAAATAAAAGACAAAAAGAGGAGGAGGAGGAGGAGAATATTAATTATTATTTTAATCCATTATTTAATCCAAATCAAAGCCAAAAACCTTTAATTAATCATTTTCAAAGACAATTAAGTAAAAATTCACAACAAAATGGAAATTTTTGGGGACAAGAAGAGGAAGGACAGGAAGGGCAAACACGTAGTTTATTATTTGAATTAGCTAATGATACAGGGAAATTGGCAAAGCTTTTCCCTAAAATTGGTCCTAAAAGTAAGTTTTCTTTAATTTATTAAAGTTTTGTTCTTTAAAAGAAAATAAGTTCTATTTTAATTGGAGACCTTTTATTTATTTAGGAATTTAAGGAATTAAAAATTATAATAGTTTAAGAAAAATTTCCTCTTTTGGTCAATGATTATTGAAATATTCTGAATTATTATTCCATTGAAAAAGACCAGAAAATATTTTAAACTTATAATTTTCTAGCACAACAATTAAAAGAATCAACAAACAATCAAGAAAACGAATTTATATTATCAAATAAAAATAGAAGAAGCACAAAACGAAAAAGTGAAACAAAAAGAAGAAATTCAACAATACGTTTACTTTCTGACCCAAAAAAGAATTTTTGTCAAATTAATTTAAAAGAATGTGGAACACAAGTAAATTATATTTTTAATTATAAAGAAAATTGGGATTAAAAGTGAATTCTGAATTTTTTGATATTTGAAAAAAATTCTGTTTAAAAAAGGATATTAAAAAGATCTCTTGACGTTTGTGTATTTTGAAATTAAACTTTTTATCAAAACAAATCCTAATTTAAATTAATTTTAATTTATATAAATATTTAGACAAGCCCTTTATTACCATCAAATAATTATTTATTAAATAAAAAACAACAAAATAATGAAGAAATAAATAATAATTTAATTGGAAAATCAAAAAGACAATTTTCTGTTATTGGAAGAAAATCAAAAGAAATGGAAGAAAATTCTTTTACAAAAAATGGTTGGAATCGTAGAAGAAGAGCAAATACATTAACACAAAAACAGGTGGGGAAAATAGAAAAAAATTATTTTTGTTTTTAAATTAAAGAATTAATTGTTAATAAAAAAAATAAAAGCAAAAATTATTTAAATTAAATTAAAAAAATTTTTTTTTGTTGAAATATTAGTTAAAAGAAAGGGGTTAGAGTAATTCCACAGAACAGTTTCTATTCGTCGTATCTACTAGGATTCTGAGTTAGATAAAGGCTATTTTAATTAAAAAAAAATTATAAATAATATTTATATAAATATAACAAAAAGTAATAAAAAATATTAAAAAAATAAATAAAATATTAAATTTACCCCATATTTTAAATAATAATGTAAAATTGTTTTTATATACATTAAAATTTGGAAAAATCTAAAAGAGGGACGGAAATTTAGTAGAAAGTTGTAACCAACCGAATCAAAAAATTTTTTATACCATTCCGAGATTTCACCGTTTATTTCCAATTCTGATCCTATCTTTAAAGGTTTTTCAGATTTGGTTTATCATTAATAGGACTAATAATATTTATATTTATTAGTCCTATTGTGACAGAAGAAAAAAACTTTTTAAATTTAAGGATTTTAAAATAAAAATATTGCAAAAATAAATTAGAAATAATAATTAAAATATTTTTAAGACCAGATTATTTAATTAAATAATTGTTAGAAGGGGGGTGGTACTTAGTTGGGAATTAAATGTTGAGATATTAGTGATTGTGGGGGAATAATATTTAAATATATCAACAATTATTAAATATCTGGTCTTTAAAAATAAAAACAAAATTATTTTTTCTTATCACTAGTTACTTCCTCCTCAGAAAGTATTGACCTTTTTCTTTGTTTTCTCTTTTTTCCAATATTTTCGTTTAATTTATCTTTATTATTATTATCATCTTTTTTAATCAAATTTCTTTTCTTTCCCTTCTTTTTATTATCTTCTTCTTCTTTTTCTTCAATAATTAAACATTCCTCTCCTCCTTCCTCTTCTCCTTTTTTATTTTTTATTATTTTCTTTGATTCCAAAACACTTCCTGGATGTAAAAATAAAGAAGAATTATTTACTTCTTCTAAATTCTTTTCTCCCCCAATTTCATTTTGTTCAATAGGAAAACAACTTTTTAAAGTTTCCAACAAAACATCAAAAGCCAGAGAAATACAAAAACAACGTTCTCCTGAAGGGAAATCTGGATGTTCTCTTTTTTGATGTTCTAATTGACTTCTTTCATCATTAGAAGTAAATCGACATTTTTTACATCTAAAACAAAAATATTTAGACAAAATCTTTTTTGGAAGGATAAAACAAATTCCAGATTAACCTCCCCCCTCATTTACCCCTTCTTTATTATCAGTCAATTAGAAAATACAGTTGATTTTTTTACCCTAATTTTAAAATTTTAATTTTTCTACCACAGAATATATTTATATTTTTTAAATTAAAAAAATAAAATTACTTGTAAGAAGGATGTATACTTAAATGCCCATAAATACAACTTTTCATAGTTGGGACTATTTGTCCACAAAGAAGGCAACTAATTTTTGCTTGTTGTTTAGATTCTGTTAAAGATGTTAGTCGACCTATTGCATCAAAAAGAATATCACGAGCTCGACAAAAAACTCTGGGAAAACATTGAGTTAAAATTTCCACCAATAAACCTTTAATTAATTAAATATTAATTTTGTAAATGTCTTCTTTTATTTAAAAGGATTCTATAAATTAAGGATAAATTAAAAACCCCCAAAAATTTATTTTCTAAAAATATTTATATTTAAAAATTTACCCACCCATATCCCTTCTGTCCTCAATATATTTAGTTCCTTTCTGTGCCGGATGTTCTCTATCAATATGTTCAAAAACTAAATGTTGGTCTTGAAACCCTTTCTGACACAATTTACATACAAACATTGATGTTTTACAATGTCCATGAATGTGAGAACGAATTGAAGCATCGTTATTTGGAATGGAGGCATCACATAATTGACAGTCTAATTGAGGGCCTCGATTGCGAAAACTTTTTAATTTCCTTTAAAAAAATTAAATAATTATTTTTAAATTTTATTCCAATTTTTCCTAAATACTTTAAATATTTTAACAAATATTTCTTTTTAAAAAATTAAAAAAAAATTACCTATAAAATTCAATATGTGCTTTTCTTTGCATTTTCGGTAATGAACTTCTAGCTTCTCCATCCCCAACAACATCAACATAGGCATTATCTTCATCTAAATTTTCCTCTTCTTCAAAATCAACAGTTTCCACATTTTTATTTTTAATTTCTTCTTCCCCATCAACAACAATTATTTCCTCTCCCTCCTCCTCTTCTTCAACTTTTTCAATAATTTCTTCTGATTTTTCAGAATTTTTAATTTCTTTATTATTTTTTATTTCTTCTTTTTCTGGTTGTTGTTGTTGTTGACTACGAAAATATTGTTGCATAGCTAAATGTAATTGTTGGGGGGTTATTTGAAATATTGGAATTGAACGCTTATCAGAAGTATTTTCTATTTCTTTATTTAATTCTGATATTTGTTTATTTGTTGATGATAAAGAATTTGTATTTTGGGAAGGAAAAGTAGAAGGTTGTTGTTGGGGAAGTTGTTGAGGTTGAGGTAATTGTTGGGGTAATTGTTGTTGGGGTTGTTGTTGAAGTAATGAAGAATTTTGTTGTTGTTCAATTAACTTAAAAAAGAATATTTTTTATAAATTTTTTAACAATCTAAAAAACATTTTTTTCTTTTTTATTTTCTTCTTTTCCTTTATTAACTTTTTCAATTAAAGCTTCTTTTAATTTTCTTTTAGATTCTTTATTATTTTTATTATTTAATTTTTCAACATCATTATTTTCAATAAAAATAATTTCTTCTGAAAAAGATTTTTTATTTTCATTTTTTTCTGTTGGATATATAAAAAAATTATTTTTTTGTTTTTCTTTTTGATTTAAAGGAATTAAAGTATTTTCTGAAATTAATGAATAAAGAGAAGAAAAATCAGAAGAATTTTCTATATTTTTTGTAATTGATTGAATTCCTGAAGAAAAATGGGGGGAAGAATTTAATTGAAATATTGTGGGGGCTTGTTGTGGTGAAGGTTGTTGAGAAGAATTAAAAGAAGAATGACCAGAATTCTTAAAAGAAAAAGATTTAAAAAATTAAATTTAAAAAAAAACTTGTTGAGAAAGTAAAAAAGAATTATTTTGTAAAGAAGGTAAAGGGAAAAATGAAGAAGAATTTTGTTGTTGTTGGTGTTGTTGATCAATTGTTGTTGTTATTATTATATTATTATTAGAATTATTTTTATTATTTTGTTCAAAAATAAATTGTTGTTGTTGATGTTGAAGTTGTAAAAGTCTTTTTCTTTGTTCATCAAAATCAAAAGAAGGGGATGGAAGAAAATTAGGAGGAATTGTAGGTGAGGGTGTTATTGGAGATGGAATAAATTGGGAAGGTATTTGTGGATGTTGTTGTTGTAAAGAGGATGTTTGTGTAGGAAAAAAAGATAATGGAATTATTTGAGGTGGTAATTGAGTTGACCTTTTTTTTAAAAAAATATTAGAGTTTTAGAATCAGTAGCAGTTTTTCTTTCCTATCTACAAATTCTTGATAATTGCTCAAATATTAGTGTTTGGCAAATGGCTTTTTTCTGTATTTAGTTCCGAAATACCGAAAATACCGCGGTATACCGTGCCGAACACCATTAAATATCAGTATATTTAATCATTAAAAATTCTCTAGAAAAATTTCTAAAGAGTGATGAAACAACAATTTTTCATTACTAATACAGTCGTGGAAAAAAGTATGGAAGCGCTAGAAAAAGTTTTTTAAATTCTTAATTTTTTGTTCAAAAAATACGTTCTATATACCAATCGAAAGCTCTATTCGTATCTCAGTTGTTCATGAAAATGAAAATTGGCCGAGATAATCCGGATCTACCGGATATACCAAATCCCATTTTTTCGGAAAAATTTTTCGGAAGAAATTTAACAAACCCATTTGATAAAGCATATTTTTCTGAGTATTTTCCACAAAACCGCTTAGAAATATCTTTTTCCGGAACAGAGATATGATTTTTTGAAAATCGTATTTTTCCCTTAAAAATCGAATTTTTTGCAAAAATTGACGAAAAATACGATTTTCAAAAAATCATATCTCTGTTCCGGAAAAAGATATTTCTAAGCGGTTTTGTGGAAAATACTCAGAAAAATATGCTTTATCAAATGGGTTTGTTAAATTTCTTCCGAAAAATTTTTCCGAAAAAATGGGATTTGGTATATCCGGTAGATCCGGATTATCTCGGCCAATTTTCATTTTCATGAAAAATGCAGAAACATGTCAACTGAGATACGAATAGAGCTTTCGATTGGTATATAGAACGTATTTTTTGAACAAAAAATTAAGAATTTAAAAAACTTTTTCTAGCGCTTCCATACTTTTTTCCACGACTGTATATCCTATATATAATTCAGTAAATACCCATTCTTATTTTTTATTAAAAAATTATTATTTTACAATTGAAAGCTATTGTTGGATTGATTTTGTGAAATTATTTGTTGTTGTTGTTTTAATAAAGGAGGACTAGTAGTAATATTTGTTGTTTGTGTTGTTACTGCATTATTTGAAAATTGACTAGCTATTTGTAATTGAAGACGAGTAATTTCATCTTTTTCACGTTTTAAAGCAGAAGAACAAAAATCTGCCATATATTTTTAAATTAATATTTGGAATGTTTCCTTTAAATAATAATAAAATATAGGTATATAACTAAATTAAAAAAATAAATTAATTTTAAGAATTAAGTTGATTGTGTACAGTTAATAAAAAATGAAAAAAAAATTTTTAAAGAAGAATCTGCCTAAAAAGTAAAAATATTTAGGGGTATGTGTGTGTATATGTGTTTAAAAAAAAAGGAATAATATCCTACATAGCCCTTATAGAATTATGTGTAATAATTAATTTTTTTAATTTTACGAATAAAAACTTTATATAAAAAAATTTTTTGAAGATTCAATTTTTTGTCAATTTTATAAAACTCAAATTTAAATTTCTCAGATTATATATAGATTGGAAAATTAAAAAAAATATTAAAGAAATGGCATTTAAAATATTTAGCTGAATAAATAAATAAAAAAATATTCAAAAAAACTTTTTTTTTAAGTTTAAAATTACATAAAATATAAATTAAAAGATTGAAGTAAAAGGATCATTTTTAGTATAAATAAAAAATATATTTAAATAATTAAATATAAATTCTTAAATATATAATTATTTGGCTCTAGTAGCGTCCCTTCAGTCTGCTTAAAAGCTCATGGGACGCATGCCCTCAACTAGAGCCAATTATTTATTTTTAATTTATGAAATTATTTATTTAAGAAAAGGTTTTTATTATTTTAAGTCAATTTTTGTTTTTAAATGTAAACAAAAAAATTTTTTTGAGTCAACGATAGCCGTGATGTATTTAAAAATTTTTAGAATATTTTTATTAAATAAATTTTAAATTCTATACTAATTTAGTAAGAGATAAATACTCAAATCTATTTAAAATATTTAAATTATTTCCAAACTCCATCCATTCCCTTAAATATTTAATTTTGAAAAAAGAAAAATTTGTTAAAAGCTGAATATACAAAAAAAATATTTTTATTTATTAATCAGTAAAACAAAAATAATTTTTGGCAGAAATATTTTTTAAATGATTAATAAATTGCTACAAAAATTTCACCTTTTTTAAGAAAAAAGCAAAAAATAATTTTAAAGAAAAATTTTGATTTTTTTCATATTTTTAGTCTAATGTTTCGCAGTTTTTAATTATATTTAGTATTTTCTGTCAAATTTTTCTTTGTAATTTAAAAAAAATTATTTAAATTTTCTTCAAATTACATCATTTTTATTTTTGTAAAAATATTTTTTTAATAAAATTAATTACTTAAAAAATAGAACAAATAAAACCTCTACATATTAAATTATCCAAATAAATTGTTAAAGATTATATAAATTATAAAAATTATTTGTTTTATTGATAAATAAATAATTTAAATAAAAAGAAAATATCTACTAATTTACTTTTTGAAAAATATAAAAGATTTAAATATTTTAAATTTAAAAAATAATTATTTTGGGACTATTTGGCTTTCATAATTTTAACAATTAAAATCTATTTATATATTAGAAATGTCTAAAACCGTAAAATTTCCGAGACTTTTTTACTTTAAAAGATTAAGAAATATTCAAAAAAAGTTTTAAAAATTATTTAAAATTTTATAAAAAAAAAGTAAAAGAAATTAAGGGAGTTAAAGAAAAATACATTTATAAAGACTGATTGAGAAGGGGAGGGGGTCTTGGCTATCCATTTTATAGGTAATCGAGAGAGGAGGCATTGGGAAGACGAATAAAAATTTTTAGACGTGTAAAATAAATAACACACTCATAAAAGGGCATTTTTAAAGAAAGAGAGAAAGAAAAAAAAGAAAAATTTTATATTTAAAAGAAAGATGGAAGAAAATTTTAGAGACAAAATGGTATTCAACAAGATGGAACTTTGGGTAAATAACAAATCAAGCCAAAATATTAGGTTGTGTCATAAATAATTAGCCCCCTTAAACAATGTAAGTTTGAAAATTCATATCTCACTGTTCTGAAAACCAAACTGTATAATTTTTTTGTCATATATTCTCAATGATGTCTTCTTCATTTTCTGGAAGATTTGAAATTTTTCCTCTACTTACAAATTTTTTACGATTTTTTAAAATTTAAGGCAAAACTATGAAATTAGTTGATTTTGCGGCAATTCATGGTGTATCAATCGACCCTTTTTAACTTGTTTCCCGTTTCAAGTAAAATTATGGTAATTTTTGTAAGCGAGCAGGTGATTGCCTGCCCAAATATACACATTTTATTTTTTGGATTGGCTTTGATTCTGGGGAGAACGGAATTCTTATCTATCGTTGGTTGACATCCAAGACGTTATTCTTCTTTCAGCCCCTCTTTACCTTTCTTTTATTTGGAGGACAACCTTTTTTCTGTGGAATACGAGATAACATCTCCTTACTTCGATTAGCATATTTTGCGCCATGATTCCTTCTCCGAATATCCAAGTTTAAACTCATAATTTAGGTGGACACTAATTTCATAGTTTTGCCTTAAATTTTAAAAAATCGTAAAAAATTTGTAAGTAGAGGAAAAATTTCAAATCTTCCAGAAAATGAAGAAGACATCATTGAGAATATATGACAAAAAAATTAAACAGATTGGTTTTCAGAACAGTGAGATATGAATTTTCAAACTTACATTGTTTAAGGGGGGCTAATTATTTATGACACAACCTAATAGTATTCAGAAAAATAGAGAATTTGATAAACAGAAGGGTTTAGATACTAACTAAAAATTATTATTAAAAAAAGGTCAAAAAGTGTCAACACTCAACGAGGCTTCACAAAAGAACATATGTAATATGAAAGTCAAAACAATGAGAGTTTAGTCCCGATTATCCCAATTAATTCTTTTCTGGCTATATTTTTTGCCACTTTTTTTGCTTATTCGTAGGCAAAAACAATAATTTTATATTACCATTTTTGCTAATTTTGGCTTAGGTACCATTTTGTCGAAAATAATTTTGGCAAATATAATTTAGTAATGGCGCCAAAAGAGAAGATAAAGATTTTATAAAGCCTAGACTTATTTTTTTATTAATGATGAAAGAGTGAAGAAAAATAAGAGTCGAGTAAATCACACTGCTTTTACTCAATTCTTTTTTAAATATTCAATAAAATCAATTCAAATTTTAAATTTATTTGAGGGTTATGGTGGAAAAAGTCCGCAACTTTTTTTTGTCCGCAAATATAATTAAATTGCAGAAAATTATTTTATTAAAAAATTATTAAAATAATATGTATAGAAATGATTTAGTAGAGTTTTTTAAACCTTAGATGCTAGTAAAATATACAAATATATAAAATAATTTCCATATATCAATAAACAAACAGCATATTTTTTAGTCAATGCAAATAAATTATTATTAGAAATAAAGTATTTGATAAATATAATCATTTCTTAACCTACATAAGTAGGACATTTACTTATCTATTATATATTTTCCTAGTCTGAGTACCATTTAATAGCTATTAAATAGGGCTACAAAACTACACAAAAATAAATAAGACCAAAAGAAAAATTTTTTTGAGTAAACCTTAAAAACAAAAGAAAATTTTTCCTCAAAAAGTAGACAAATTTTAAGGTATTGAAACATCAACCTTAGAAAGGTGTTTTTACGGGTTGCCCACTATTTCAACATTTTGTTGAATTATTGAATGTTTATTTGTTATATTGTTGTAATATGCAATAGATTTATCCAAAGAAAATCTAAAGTTTCAGATAGCAAAATGATATAAGGTTTTATAGTATAAGAAAGATATAAAATTTAACTAAAAAATTTTTAAGAAGGGGCCGAATGTTAACCTTTTAATTAAAATAAAAATAAAATAAAATAAAATTTTTAAATATTTTATTAAGAAAAAGATTTTTGTGGGATTAACTAAAAGGAATTCTAAAAAATGGGAATTTACATACAAATAATGGTAAATTTTGATTATTGTTTATCAACATAATTAAGTAAAACAGAGCTAGGCTATAGCTATTTCTCTCCTTTAGGTTATTCGTCGGTTGGGGGTGAACTAGCATCTTCAGTAGATCGGATTGATGTGTT